CTCTGTCTGGACAGAATGACACACCCTCTCTGCAAGAAGCTGATTTGGCTACCATTTGCCACATTATGAAAATTAGTGGTTTTCTAGAGAACAGAATAAATTACAGGTGGAGAAGAAAACAAAACCCTACAATGGTTCAGAAATCACTCTATAGGTTGTGTACTAAATTATATCTCAAATGGAAAGTTCTTCAGAACCCTGTCAGTCACTCACACTTAGTGGGCAGCAGCCGTGGTCAGTTATGAGCCGCCATTTGAAATGTGCCACAGTTCCCAAAAGCAACACGTTGGCAGCATTGTGAGACATGGTGGCTCACAGATCCAGTTGCCTGGTAGATGTTGTCATTAGGCCTTCAGCAGCATTGGATTCGAAAAGCAGTTTTTTTATTCACTGGAAGTAATTGGAGTCAATGATTGCTGGAAGGGTAGGAAAGGAAAAGCAGGAAGTGGGTTAGAGAAGGTTTGAAATGTGTTTTTATATATGTTCAGTGTAGATTACATTAATTTCCTAACAGTTCAGCATATAAAAGTAGCAGACCCTCCAGGTGTCCCTATTTTCCAGGGTCAGTTGTGGATTTACAGAAGCCACCCTGGTTTCTGATTTGATCCTGCAATGTCCTGCTTTTCCTTAGGATATCCCTATTTTCACTGGAGAAATGTTGGAGGGTATGAAGTAGGGAATGAACAAAATGAAGAGATCAGTCTTCCTTTCTACTTTATGTTAGCTAAAATACAAGCAGCAGCACAAACAAGATATTTGACTGTGACGTGTTGCAGCTGTGAGTCAGAAGATGGAAACTGCAACCTTAACAAGATCAGCACTATCTATGTCAGTCCCTTGCTCCTTTTTGTCATTTCTCAGCAGGACAGTTGGGAAAGAAAAACACTAAACCTCACATTTCAGTCACAGGATTGATTGTTGCACAAGTCATACTTGCTATTCTTCACATTCTTTCAGACTGTAAGCTTCTTGAGAACAGGCACCTGGCTTTTACAAATAAAACCCCTCCACAATGCCCCACATTCATGGTATGGTGCAAATATAGGCCTAATAAATATTACATTCTCAGGGAAGGACTTATGACAGTCCTAAAGAGAGGTTTAAATGACACACACATTGATTCTACTTAAGTTGCACATTGGCTACAATAAGACTACAATAAATGTTACATGTAAAACATATTCCAGGTAACATCTAAACATATTTCCCTAATGCTAAGATCCTCAAAGGATGCAGGTGGCGTTGTGGTCTAAACAACTGAGCCTCTTGGGCTTGCCGATCAGAAGGTCAGCGGTTCGAATCTCTGTGACGGGGTGAGCTCCCGTTGTTCGGTCCCAGCTCCTGCCAACCCAGCAGGTCGAAAGCACACTAGTGCAAGTAGATAAATAGGTACCGCTCCGGTGGGAAGGTAAGTGGTGTTTCCGTGCACTGCTCTGGTTTCGGAAGCGGCTTAGTCATGCTGGCCACATGACCCGGAAAAACTGCCTGCAGACAAACGCCAGCTCCCTCGGCCAGTAAAGCAAGATGAGCGCCACAACCCCAGAGTTGTTTGCGACTGGACTTAACTGTCAGGGGTCCTTTACCTTTACCTTTAAAATCCTCAAAAAGAGAAGGAAGTTGAAAAAGGATTTTCTTTCCATTTTTTGAGGGGAGGGGTATTTGCTTATATCACCAACGTAACACCCTCAGTGAAGTAAGTTTGATTGTCCTAAGCTCATCATTTATTTATTTATTGCCCAATATATAATTTCTTCCTCATTCACAAAATGAGAAAGCTAAACTATGAATACAATAAAGGGTCATTCATCTATCATCTGTTTTTCTGGAGTGGTCTTTAAACTGAACTTTATTAAAAAAAATTAAGAGAAATCCTGAGCCATTTTGTACATCACACTTCTGGTCGCTTTACTCATTTTTAAAATGCCACTTTGAAAAACTGTGGCTGGAAAATTATCTTTAAAATGATATAGAACAGGAGTACTGTTATGTACTGAAGTTCTCACCCTGGGCCAGCAGGGGGATACTGTAGATAGTTATGCAAATGAAGGATCAAAAAGTGACGTTCAGTGATTGGATAGTTTGTATGCAAATGAAGGATGGAAAAGTGACGTTCAGTGATTGGATAGTTTTAGAAAATGGCAACAGTTACATTGTTCTGGAGCTCTATATAAGCAGGCTGACTGAGCTCCTCAGTTAGTTCTGTTCCAGCTTACAATAAAGAGCTGCTTTGGAAGAATCGCTGTCGTCTGATATGTTCGCCCACAACTTAACACTGGCGACGAGGATGGGATCGATGGACATCAGAGCACAGCCAGATGCGGCCATCCTATGAACTGAGCTGAATCACTGAGCGAAATCACTGGACAGAACCAATTCAGAGCTGACTGTTCTGGCTAGAGCACTGTGTTCCATCCATTGCCCTTCACGCCGGCATCGGAATCATGGCTTCACTTGTGCATCTACCGCCGATTGCGCCAGCCTCTGAATCATGGGACTCCTACCTCGCTCGGTTCGACTGCTACCTCCAAGCCAACGAGCTGACAGCAGCATCAAAGGAACGGAAGCGGGGCCTATTCCTCAGCCTCTGTGGGCCTGAGGTGTTTGAGATGGCCCGAGCATTGGTTGCGCCTGAAGCAGTCCAGGCAACACCATGGGACACGATCCAAGAGAAGCTCCGCAACCACTACGCGCCAAAGCCGTCCAAGATTGCTGCCCGCCATGCGTTCTACCACCGGAACCAGGCAGAGGGGGAGTCAATCAACAACTACACCACCGCCCTGCGACAGGCTGCAATGCACTGTGAGTTCCGAGACTTAGACGATGCTCTGATGGATTGAATCGTCTGCGGGGTCCGGGACATCCATCTGCAACGGCGTCTCCTCGCCAAGCCAGACCTCACGCTACAGAAAGCCATTGAGGAGGCTGTGGCCTCAGAAGCTGCTGAACGCTCTGCCCAGGAGATCCGCAAGTCCAGCAGCCCGCGTCTTGCTAGGAAGCCAGTTCCAGTGCATCACGAAGAGGCCAGCAGTGATGAGGCATCCTCCAGAACTTAACAAGTACCAACTTGAATAAAATGTTGGGGGCCCCCGGTAGGGCCCCACCCCACATAATCAATCACAATACAGCACCCTCATTTGAATAGCAATGCTCATCAACTCGGGGGGCAGCCCCCTCAAATATTTTATTGAGGGAACCGAAGGGATCTCAGCCCCTAGGAGTTGGCTCCTATGATGTAGAATATGCAAATTAAAAACGGTTCTGTAGGTTTGCCATTTTCATGGAACTACCTATTATTTTAAAGGTAGTTCTCACTAACAAATAGGAAGCTATTAAAAATGATTGCTGCCGCAACAATGGTCTTTTGATTGAAAATGGTACTTCTTGGCAGGCATTACAAGGTCCTCATGATGAAATCTGTCATAGTTTGATTTGCACATTCCTTTGCTGTGTGGCTTGTTTTGTGCGGCTGCGTGCAGTTGAACTTTTCTCAGTTCAAAGGTTAAAAAACAATTATAGCTAAGCTATGTGGAAATGTCACTGAGTTTAACAGGACTTAATCTCAGAAAACACCTTACCTGTGTAGGCACAGGCCTGGACTAAACTGGAACGCTGATTTAAATAGGTATAAGGCGGCTTCCTTCCCTTGAAGACAGGAGAGGAACATCTATCTACCTATGGAGATACTTATATATTATATATAATAAATAAACAAACAGGTCCTCAAAAGGGCCACATTGAGGACCTGTGAAAATCTAACTTTTCATGCTCTGCCAAAATATAGACCCTGCAAAGGAGCCAGACCACCTGGCTACCAGACCTCTGTCAAAACAAGCATATTCTGCCAGAGGAAGATTTGTTTTAAGTGCCGAATAAGATATGCCTTAAGGCATATTTTCATTATAAGCAGTGGGTTTTATAAAATCAAGTAATTGCAAAATATCTTATTCCTAGAAGCAGCACTGCCATCCCACTATGGATTTGTAGGGTGCAAGTAAGTATTAAAATGAACACAGAAAAAAGAAATCTCACTGCATTGAAAAATCATCTGACTTTTAGAAGACATTTGAAAGCAGCCTGCATAGGGAAATTTTCAATGCTTGATGTTTTACTGTGTTTGATCTTTTAATTTGTTGGAAGCCACCCAGAATGGCTGGGGCATCGCAGTCAAATGAGCAGCACGTTAATAATAATAATAATAATAATAATAATAATAATAATAATAATTGAAACCGTGAGATTCCTGTCCAAAGATCCCTGGAAATTGAAACCGAGATCCCATACTGATAGGAACTACTGCTGAAAAAAGGAAGCTTAATCACAAATTACGTTTTATGCACTCATGAATGCAGCACATACCATCTGCAGACAGTAATCCTGGATTCTGCTGTCTGGTGATGGTGATTCACTTTGCATACTTAAGCAAAGCCACACGCTTCACTATCACTGCTGTTTCCAACTATGCAGAATAAGCACTTTTGGAGGAAATTAACACAGACCTTGGCCAGAAATCACTGTATTTACACAAGAAGTCATTTCCTCTTCACACACTTAAAAAAAAAAAAAGGATGATTCAGCAGAGGAAACTCTTCAAAAACATGTTTGCATATGTTTTCACCTTTGTGTCTTCCAGAGTCCTCCTCTAGTGTGCACAAGCTGTTTGTTCCCTTTCTGCTTGACTTACTTGCAATATCCGAATCACTACCAGAAGCAAATTACAGCCTTTATCCTAAATGTTCTAGGGATGGCTCACAAATCACGGCAGACTTTGGAAGAAAGGTGGAACATAAATGTAATGGTGGCTACTAGGTTGGCATGCCTGCAGGTTAAAAAAGCAGGCCATGCCTAAAGGATAGCCTACAGCAACCTCTTAATATAAAAACTGCAGGGAGTAATATAGTCCTGCAGAGTTCACAGCTGCTGCTAAAAAGTCAAATTGTTGGAACCAACAGCTAGCAATGCTCAGTTTGCTGTTTTACACGAATGCAGCTAGGAAATGAGGAATGATGAAAAAGTTGCAACAGGCAACCATTTATTTGTAAAAAAAACTTTAAAATTTTACTACAACAAAGATTAAGGAAAAACAGTATTAATATATATACATACATTGTATATGTATATACACATAATGTATCTTGTACAATTAAAATTACATGCTTTTCAGAACAGAAGAGTCTTGATCCCTCATACCAACTTTTCTTACCGCAAGAAATTCTTGCTTTCCTTAATTAAAATAAAAATAAAAATCAAACTTTCAAGTATAAGAAATAAGCACACTAGTATCTGAAAGTGAAAAAAACATTTGCTTTGCACAAATGATCACTGTTAAGTAAAGAGTAAATCTGTTTAGCTAACACTTGTATATGTGCCTTGGTGAACTTTACAACTGTGTAAAATCTTTACCTGAGATATGTGGAAAGAATGGAAGGTGCAAGTTCATGGGGTTTCAATTTTTCCATTCCACTTCAACGGAAATAAAAACTGATAATGTCTTAATGTTTGTACTCGCACGGTATTCAACATGAGAGCTCTTCAGCAGAACAATTTTCATGTTACCAAGTATCTTAAACTCCAGAAAAACACAGAGGCAAGCACCACTTGTAGCAACCAGCATGCAGAGACAGGGAAATAGAGGTAGCATTGTCTTATAGCTTCAACAGGATCACTTGATTTTAGCCACATTATCTTCTGCAAAAGGCACTCACTTTTTCATTTCTAAGTCTGGTGTTAAAATTGAAATATACTAGCATTGTTTTACTATAAATGGTTTTTTCGTTTTTAAATTAAACAAGCACGATAAAAAAGGAGAGGACTTAGGAAACGAGTTTTGTATCACTACGTATGCTTCTTCTGTTTGGAAAAATGACTTTAAAAACCTCTAGGTACCGAAAAGCTAGAGTCCTCCCAGTTAAAACGCCAGTATTTAAGCAGCACGATGTATAATCAGAAACGAACTGTGAAATACCCAGAAATACACCAGCTTTTTATAACTAAAATAAGAGCAAGAGGTCACAGTAAAAAAATAAGATGATTGGTCACTTAAAAAGTGGTGCTGGGAGGCAGCGGCAACCCATGAATGTAGAAACTTATAAATACATACAAAACTGTCGTACTTAATCCTTTGTCGCTATCTGCTATTAGAAAAGTGTGTGCTTTCTCGTGTTTGCTTTTACCGAGAGACAACTGAGCTAATTGAATTATAAGATGTCCCGCTGTTACAGCTTGAAGCATAGGCTTCCTGGCCATTCACATCTAAACTGACTCTAAACACAGAGGATGCTTTCATTAAAAAGTCAGCTGCATCTCTGCGCCCCAGTTCCCTCAGTTTAGACATTAGGGTGCCCACAGTACTTTCAGGGCTATTTCCCCATTCCTGAAGAAGAGCATAGGATGGGCTCGGGATAAAGTCATTCTGACTCCCATTGTTTGTATTGTATTTCGCAACCAGATCAGGAAGGCCCAAGTTCATAGCAAGAAGGCACCAGTCCTTGCCCATGGGATCAGGTGGATCCAGAAGTCGACTCAGTTTCCTTCGTGTAAGCAGATTCAGATCAGACACGTGGATATCCATCCCCAAACTCCCCTGTGAATAGACATCTAGACACCCAAAGCACAGTATACTGCTAAAGCTTTCTTTGTAGCCACCCATGGTATTAGTCAATGAGGTCTCCTTTTGACTTTGTGCGCGGAAAAAATCTCTCGGGTGGTAGATCATTATTGGCTCATGGTGTTCCCTCAGCTGCTGAGGACTGAGATAGTGTTTGACTGTCAGGAGTCCTGGTAACGTTGTGGCCATCAGGTTATCAATCGTACTGCACACCGAGTCCAGGAACAAGCAGCATTTTATCTTCTCCGTTTCCAGTCCTCTAACTTGAACCTCAATACCCTGACCATTGTTCACAAGCAGGACAAGGAGCTCAGCTCCACGGTTCACAATCTTTGACCCATTGATCCACAAGCGTATGTCTGCATCTCCCTCTGTGCTCTGTTGATGGATCCATCTACAAAGATTCACCTGAACTTTGTGGAATATCCCACAAGGCAGTGGGGTGAGGTGTTCCACAGGAACAATTCTAACACCACCATAAATCATAACTTCATCCTCCTCGTCAGCCCAAGACCTATGGAGGCTATCAGTCTTGATTAAAGCAGGAATGTCAATCATTGTTCCACTGCTGAGATCCCTGGCACAGATGTCCATAGCGTCCAAGATTTGTATGAGTTCTTCTATATCGCTATCTGGGACCAGGCGCTGGATGTCCTCTATGGTGTAACGGCCTCTGTAGTGATGGAGGGCCTTGGGGTTCTCCACGGACAGGAGTCTTCCAAGCACATTTGAGCACAGCCAGCGAGGATCCAGCAAAACAACATCTTGGACTGTCTCGCTTTGCATGATATTGATCTGTTGAACAGAAGAAAAGCCACAAGTCAAATCCAAATACGAGAGAAAGGAATAGTTTTGGAGACATCGCAGCTTTAACTGTAAGAGGACTACAGGTTCTCATATGGTCCATTATCTACATCCAATGAAAAATCTGAATTTGAGAACGGGAGGAGAGCTTCTCCTTGGGCTGAGTTCTCTGGCATACAGCACTTAAAGGACAGTGCAGACCACAAGTTATGGCTGGGTATCAAGCTGAGCCAAAATTCATTCACCTCTTTTGATGGCCAAGCTGCAAAGAATGCAGAGTTACCTACAGAATTAAAATTGGATTAATGCAGTTTACTTACTTCTCCTATACTGTGTAGTTGCTGGGCAATGTGCCTCAGCTCATCTTCGCTTGCTAACGGGTTAAGCTGATCTTGCACATCATACACAAATTGCTGCAGTGACATGAGCTGGTTGGGTCCATTCACTTTTCTCCATGAAGGTAGCGTGGAGACGATTTTTTCGCACAAGTGTGTCATGGGTGGACATGTCTATGAAAAACACCAGATCGGACATTAGCTCTAATTCGAGAAGGTAAACTGTTATCTTTTTGCTTAAAAAAAAAATGCCATCAATCACTCATATCCTAGCAGGAACAGACCCAGTGCGGTGGAACAGAGTCACAGAGCCGCGCTTCTGAGACTGGGGTTACTACAGCTTAGCCAGATGGGTCTGTGGCAGGGCAGGTGTGATGCTACACAGACACAACAGCAGAGCCAATTTGCTGCCGCCACTGGTGCATCTGCACAGTCTCTACCTGGCCAGGTAAGCTGAAGTACTGTGAGGGCTGCTGGCTCCATGGCTCTGCCACACCTCACTGGATGCGGAAGAATAGAGCATTGATTCTATTTGGCCATGCATACTCCTCTATTGGTAATGATGCTAGAAGTGGAAGTTATTTCCACAACTGATGCAGCCCTAGCAGTACTGGCTTGCATGCTCATTCTGCTGAATGTGAAGGCTGTGCTATTCTGTCATTCCCATTTCAAGGCGATGCATTCTGTAAAGGAATACAAGAATGAAAGAAGCTATCAAATCACAGATTATGCTAAGTACTTAGTCATAGTCACTCCTGCTCCAGGCATCATGTAAACTGTATTTTCTTAAAAAAACAACAACGAACAAACCCCAAAGCAAACTGCGACAGCATAACTGTAACACTCATCCTTTTTATATTTGTAATGTGAAAGTATGTCACAGTACATTTTCCTCAGTTTTTGACAAGACAGTTAAGAAGCCTTTTCTTTTATATTACAAACGTTTCATAAAGACAGCACAACATGTTAGTATGGCTTGCATTAAATCTGTACTGGCATAAGCAGACAGGCTCTTGAAGTTTTTTTAATGGAAAAACTGTGCAGCACCACGAACTTTCTGGAACAAAACAAACCCCGTTTCTTGGCACCATTTGCACAAGTTAACAGAATGAACTTCAAGTGCATGCATATACTGCAGAAAAAGAGCAGTGAAATAATCACTAGTTTAGCTGAGTGGTTCTGGCAAAGAAGGACCAGCTTTTCACTACAACATTGCAATCTATGAAAGACGTGAAAGCAGGAATCAACACACACTGCTTAAAAGGGGTTGCATTCTTCAGAATCCTGCCTCTGGCGAAAACTCATACTGAAACAAGCTGTATAGCTGATGCCTGTTTGACAGCCAGGAAGAAGAAGAAGAGTTTGGATTTGATATCTCGCTTTATCACTACCTGAAGGAGTCTCAAAGCGGCTAACATTCTCCTTCCCTTCCTCCCGCATAACAAAAGCATTGTTAAATACTTATTCTGGGAGTGAGAAACATTTTATACACCAAAAAAATCTGGTGGCAAACCCAGCAGTAGGAGAGTGTAAGAATTATGCAGCAGAGGAGAGATAATTGATCTACACAGAAAAGTATGCTTCTGTATGTATACTTTGGTTTTTTTTTCAAAAAAAACCCACACACAATTGGATGCCAGACAAATTAATCCCTTTTTCAAATTTGTTGAAAGTGAAAGTGGCTGAGTAAATGATGTGCAAAATTAAACCGAAGCAGCGAGAGCACCACTATGGTATACTGTATAAAATATTGGACTAGGACCAGTGTTCAAACAACCACTCAGCCATAAAGCTCAGTAGGTGGGCAACTCATGTGATATGAGAATAAAGTGGAATAGCTCATTTATTCCACCATGAGTTCCTTGGAGGAACGGCAAAGTATAAATGAAGAAAACAAAGATGACTCTCACTGAAAGGTTCAGAATGGTTTGGTCACATGGAATTCAAGAGGCCCAAAGCGTTTCAGAAGAACTAGTTCAACACTGCAGACACATGTTTAAAAACTTGCTATACTTCAATAAAATATTTATTAGGCTGTTTCTGCAGAATGAGACAAGTATATTTTCTATCTAAATTTACTTGCCCCTTTTTTTAACAAGGCGTAAGAAAGAGCTGAAAGAATTTTTATGGGCTCATGATCTATTTAATACTTCTTACCACCAGAGGGCACTCAGGCCAATGAATCTAATTTATCCCATACAGACCTTGTTTGTACTCGATTCATATTTCTAACTCTCTTCCTTTCTTCCCATACTTATAACCACAAGGCAGCTTCATAACTCAAGGTGCACTCAAAATGGAAACACTCTCATGAGGCTTGGGCCAATGGATGCAATAAGAAGATGTGACTTACAGAAATAATTTGACTACGTAATTCTTGGAGGTGGTTGCGGAGAATCTTCATATCTTTAGAACCAGACGCCCCAGCATCCAAAATAAATAACCTGTCTAAAATGTGAAGGTCATTTCCAAACCTGAAAGGAAAAGAATAAAGAACCTGTTTATCATTTTACAGTACTGCATCCATCCTTTTCATTCTTATTCCATGTATTAATTGAAGCAGTTTGAGGAAGCAAGTTCTACTAGTATCACATATCTAGTAAAAAAACCAACCTTGTAACTTGATCCTATTTCTATATACTCAGATCCTTCCAAATTTAGTGGTGCTTATCCCACGGTAAGTGTGCATATCTTTGTGGTACACAGTGCCCTGGTTTAGTTGAAAATACGTTGAGCATGAGCGAAGGAAATTGAAACCTTCCCACTTTCTATTTTGAACTAACTGTGGTTTTCCATTATGCCCGGACTAAGAAAGCTGTGGGTTACTCTAACTGTGCTCACTTCAAACATGATCTGAAAACCACGGCTTAATGCTGCTTTGTTTGACTCAAGAGTTCAAACAAAATAGAAAATGGACGTTTGTTCAAAATGGAAAGCAAGCAGATGCTTCTACGTGGAAGTAGGGAATGCCTGAGCTCAAGTTTGCTGTGCCACATTTTCATAATGGAAATCCATTGTTTTAGACATTAAAAATTTTTTTTATATCTACTGATTTTTGTATTTTTTACTTTTGCTACAATAACTGCTTTTGTTTCTGATGTTTTTGATCTGTTTTATATTTGCTTTATGGTTCTCTTTAGTTAAAGATCAAAAAGGAAATCTGTTGTTTCCTTTCTGCATCTGAACCAGTCCAATGAAAGGTGTAGATTTTCTTTATTTGTATGCAAGTACAGCCTTTTCTTTTTAAAAAAAGTTTATCTCAAGGTCCTAACATGCACACAAGTTTTAAAATATACTAATTTCTTAGAAAAGCAATCGTTCCTTTTAAAAATAATACAGTTCTTACCTGTTCCTGATTTCTTTCAGAAGAGATGTATCTTTGTCATATTGGAACTCTCCTCCAGCAGAACGCGGAAGATTGACAATGTCGGCATGAGTAGCCACCAGTGCAACATGTAGTGGGTTTTTTAGCTTTCCTCCAAATGCTTCAGGAGGAAAAAAAAAAACACAAGGAAGACTTTGAGAGGAAAAGCTTTCTCTTCTAATGGCATGGTTCAAATGTAACATTTTATGGTATGTTAAATTGTTATAATTAGTTGACCATTTTAACTTGGACCAGCAGCTTAACCACGGTTTATTAACCATGAACAAACCATACCTGTAAGCCATGGTTTGTTATTGGTCTATAAACTTTGGCTTAGTGTGATATCTGAACCTGGCGCTCAAGTCAGGGATTGATTAAATGTTTCCCCAAACTTAAGAGGCTGACTGTGGCTAGTGTGATTACATTCATAGCACAAAAAACAGACGTTCATCATTCCAAAGCAAAATTGATGGTCCATGTCATAAAACAGAGACATATTACAAATCACAATAAATCTTTGTAAACCATCTATTTTGTTTCTAACAAAATATATTTGGAGAAGGGGCAATGCTTTTTTTCAGCTATAGCTACTTTTTAAAAAGATCATCCACTGACCGCACTAGTCTACAATACTATGGTTGAGATTATTATAGGCAGGAAACAAACGATCTAAAAAACATTCATACAGTGGTATGAATGCAAATTTACAGTACTTACACAAACAAAGAATTCTCACATAAGTGAGAGTTAAGAAGGAAAGCCTGGGAGATACCATGAAAAAGAATGAGAGAGAAAGAGATACAAATGGGATATGAATGAGGTAACAGAACTGAACACAAATTTGTACAGCCTGATTGCTTATACATCATCTTGATAAGATGAAAGTATTTTGCCAAATTTCGGAAAATACTGAATTTAACTTTATTGCTATTACCTGTATTGTGGCACATACTCTAGAGGCAATACCACAAAAATCCGAATGAGCAAGGGCCATCATATGCTAAACACATACATTCTTCAAATGCAGAATACAGATAAGCATACTTCAGACTTCCATGGAACATAAGCATGCCCAATACAATCCTTGGTTTCTGTTTTGTGCTCTTTGTAAATTCTATGCAAATCTAAAGGTAAAGGTAAAGGGACCCCTGACCAATAGGTCTAGTCGTGTCCGACTCCGGGGTTGCGGCACTCATCTCGCTTTATTGGCCGAGGGAGCCGGCGTACAGCTTCCAGGTCATGTGGCCAGCATGACTGAGCTGCTTCTGGCGAACCAGAGCAGCACACGGAAACGCCGTTTACCTTCCCGCCGGAGCGGTACCTATGTATCTACTTGCACTTTGACATGCTTTCGAACTGCTAGGTTGGCAGGAGCAGGGACCGAGCAATGGGAGCTCACCCTGTCGCGGGGATTCGGACCACCGACCTTCTGATCGGCAAGTCCTAAGCTCTGTGGTTTAACCCACAGCGCCACCCACGTCCCACGTGCAAATCTAGAACACCCCAAATCCCTATATTGGTTCCAGCGCAAATATGATCTGTATTCATTCTAATGTGTAGCAGATCATGTGCTTTGCATGCAGAAGGTCCTATGTTCAATTCAAGCAGGACTGGGAGAGAGCGCTGTCTCAAACTTCAGAGAGCCATTGGTAGCCAATGAAGACCAGGGGTGTTGTTAGATGACAACTCCCACCAGCTCTGACCATTGGCCATGCTTGCTGGGCTGTTCAGCAACATCTGGCAGGCCAAAGGTTCTCTACCTTGATGTAGACAATGCTGACCTAGATGGACCAATTAACTGGTTCATCTTATATTCTTATATTCATAACAAGCACTATGGTCTTTGTTAAACCGTCAGTCCCATGATCGTTTAATTAATGGCTTTGTTGAACACATATCAGCAACTTTGCTGTTGACGAAGTGAAGACAGACATCATGACTTTGTTCTTCCAAAAAACTTCCACAGTAGGTGAAGAGTAATTTACCATAATGAAGCTAGATTTATGATGTTAGCTAAACCTATATATTTAATATTTCTCCAAAATATGGAGCAATTAAGTTCGTTGGTATACTCAGCTTTAAAGCAACATGCCCAGTTAAAATATTTGACCAGTGATCTCATTTAAGAAGTATATTGAACAGCAAAGAATTCTAAAAAGGTTAATTTGTATGAAGGCAGTAGAGTAAAAAGAAGGATGGAATGGTTCAACATAGCTCTACAAAACCATGAAGAAATACTGCTTTCTCTCTCCCATGTTGAAGGGCTGGCAGAGATCAAGTACTTGTGGCATACCTATGGATTCTTCGACTGGAACAAGAGATTTTAGGAAACTAAGCCAAAAGGTCACTTGGTTCAACTGTATTTCATAGGGCTCTTCAAGACTAAAAAGTACAACGTGAACTGAGGTGGGATCATTTGCAGCAAAATAGTCATAGCAGCAGAAATACACAGGATTCCCAGAGAATTCCCACACACTGAAATCACCAACTCCTGCAACAAGCAAATATATATTATCAAGACATTAAGTAGAACAAGCTTTACAAACATTTTTATTGTTGTTGTTGAAGTATACATAGCAATTATTATTATTGTTATTATTATTATTAGCTATTATATTCAGAGACAGAGGCTGCAATCCTGATCACAGCTACATTTACTGATTTCAAAGAACCAAGCCATGCATACTGGGTGCAAGACTGCAGTCAAAATTAGACATGTTTATCCACTGAAGAAATTCAAGTCTTTTTTTTTTAACCACACTGGGTCTTACACTAGAAGACAAACTTTTCTCCATAACTTTTCTGTAAAAACTATAGAAAACATGGCACAATACATCTACCACTAAAGCTGTAGTTTGTCCAGAAGTACACGTTAAGACCAGTGCAAGAGAGTTAATTGCTAAAATATTAAATGAGTAATTTTACTGGTTTTGTCTTGTTTGACAGAATCTGAAGCATACTATTACACAGGCATATTATTGTAGTATATAAAGTGTCAAAACAGGAGGTTTTCTTTTTTAAAAAAATCAGAAAAGGCCATTTTGTTTCACAAGACAGTAGAATAATAATGTGTAATTGTAAACTCAGAGAGAGATTAGAATAGTCATAGTTCATTACTAACTGCCATTTTATGCAATACTTTATCATGCAATTTTTATTTTTTTAAATTTTCTGAAGCTGAGAGAAGCATATGTTTATTCCCTGTCCTCCAGAGACTAATAGGCATTTTTACAAACTTTAATTAATAGGATTTATAAATAAATGCATCTCAGGAAGGCGGGAACACTAGAAAAATCCCTCAGCATTTTAAAAGGAATTATAATTTCAGATATTAGTAATTCAGAAATGTTATCTTTATTAATCTGGAGGATTTGAGCAAATACTTTGGCTAGTGTAATAATCTCAATCTGCATATATAAACAGGATGTCAGGCTACAGCTGGTAGTGACAGTATGCTAATTCCAGGCTGGAATTTAAGCCCCGATGCATACTATCTATATGAATTCCTTCAAAAATTGTGACATTTTCCTAAGCTCATAATTTCTATGACAAACCCCTGGCACTTTGGACAAATACTGTGTCCTACGACGGCGGAGATGCAATCTATTCCTCCTTCTCGTGGAATATTTGGCTGCTGTTTTTCGAAGCTTTGAAGAATAACGAGTAAACATCTGAAATTAGTACACCTGCAGGTTTGAATGACTTCAACCTTTCTTTGGGTACAGGTTGGCTGAATGAGAGCTTCTTAAACAGCAGTCTAGACCTGGCCCTGAGTAAGCGCCTCACAGTGTTTGTTCATCAGTGGCAGAGTGAATTCCTCAGACTAGAGATACAATGCTCCCATCATGTCTGTTCAACCCTGCGTTGAATACCCTGGAGAAGACTGTCCCTCGTATAAGGGTTTCTTTGCAGGCTGTAAAAGGGCCTATATCTCCTCAGACAGAGAATGGTTCTCCCCAGCTTGTATTCCTCATAGAGATGCTTGTACAGAGCACACAGCAAGTTAAATCACACTTCTGGGATTCCATCAATAAATGCAGCTTTTGCTGAAAATGTAATACCACCACTGGCTTTGGCCAATATCTCTTGGCTCTCAGAGGATTAGTGCTGGATTGAGATACTACGCTGACACTGAAGAAACTTTAAAATGGTAATGTTTTTTGAGATATTGTGTTGACATAGCAAACGTTACACCTTATCGCAAGCTATTCTTGTGCTGGTAGAGAGTCTGAAATTAGGGATAAAGGTAAAGGGACCCCTGACCATTAGGTCCAGCTGTGACCGACTCTGGGGTTGTGGCGCTCATCTCGCTTTATTGGCCGAGGGAGCCGGCGTTTGTCCGCAGACAGCTTCTGGGTCATGCGGCCAGCATGACTAAGCTGCTTCTGAGAACCAGAGCAGCGCACGGAAACGCCGTTTACCTTCCCGCCGGAGCAGTACCTATTTATCTACTTGCATTTTGACGTGCTTTCGAACTGCTAAGTTGGCAGGAGCAAGGACCGAGCAACAGGAGCTCACCCTGTCGCGGGGATTTGAACCGCCGACCTTCTGATCGGCGAGTCCTAGGCTCTGTGGTTTAACCCACAGCGCCACCCGCGTCCCTGAAATTAGGGATAAAGCACTGGTATGCTTAAAGTGTGCCCTCTCTTAGAGAGGTTTCAAGGGTGGAAACTATAGGGGAGACTTATGTCTGTAGAATGCTCTGCCCAATGATGATCACCTGTTTTCACTGCCAGGTTAACACTTTCTCATTCCTAGGACACTTGATGGAACATGATCCAGCTGTGCTCTGGGTTACTGATGTTTGTTCGTTGGTTTTCTGTGGCGGCTGGCACTGTTCTATGTATTTTATTAATTTTTCATGGGTGTTTCAAACAATTTTGAATTTTTTCAACCCAATGTAAGCCACCTAGAGCTTGCTCTGTGTTCGGCAACTAACAAAATAAACCAATAAATAATTTAAGTGGATTTTAGACTGAAGCGTTTTTGCACAAAGGACCCAATTAGTTACATTGAAAGAAGAGGATTTAAGTTCATGTTTTACCATTCAAATATGCATTCTGAACGTCAATGGCCTTGGTTGACTGGTCATCTGCTGAGCAGTGGGAATGGTGAGAGGGTGAAACAAAGACTTCCAACATCCCTTTGGTAAGGCCTGGCTCAAACATCATGCTCCGGCTTCTCACACTAACATTCTCACAGCCAGGATACAGATTTGTAATACTTACTGAAACTGGATCGCAGGAAGAAAAGGAGAAGGGCAAAAGAAGATTACAAACCTTGAATTTTTAAAAATAGCATTATTACAAAACCATGTGGACAGACCATTGTGGTAGTTTGAACAAAGCAAGTTCAAGCGTTGGTGGCAAAAATAAGGCGCTGGTGCTATCAGCAGCTGCCTGGAATATTCTCCTTTAAGATATACAAGTACACAACAATCAATCACAACCAAAGCCCTCCTATCTTCTCTAGAGGTGAATCAGCAGTTCAGAACAGCCCCTTGGTGCCAAAGGAGGTCATTCCCAGTTCACAGCTGGGTAGATTACATATGGTTGGAGACCTTCTTTTTTGAGGGGGTAGAGGCATTGGTACTTTACTTGTGAGGGCAATATTTTATCCCTCTCCAATTATCACTGCAGAGATCAATGATTTCAACATGTATGTTATTATCTAAATATTAAGGAGACTACCTATAAAGCATCAATTTGAATAATAAATAGCAAAGCTGTATCTTTTCCAAGTGGAAGCATGAAGGAGCAGAGCCATTTCATTATCCGTAACTTTTTCAGGATTAACAGAAACCATGCAAATTTAGTACAGTGGTACCTCGGGTTACATACGCTTCAGGTTACATACACTTCAGGTTACAGACTCCGCTAACCCAGAAATAGTACCTCGGGTTAAGAACTTTGCTTCAGGATGAGAACAGAACTCGTGCGGTGGCAGCGCGGCAGGCCCCATTAGCTAAAGTGGTGCTTCAGGTTAAGAACAGTTTCAGGTTAAGAACGGACCTCCGGAACGAATTAAGTATGTAACCAGAGGTTCCACTGTAAATATGTATAATTAGTACTTTTGGTATTGAATTAGCCTCCTCTAGTGGTTGAAATAATTAAGGCACCCCTGACATTTCTGAAGGTGCAAGTCAGCTTTGATAAACTTGGTGCCCTGTTTTTAGACTACGACTCGAATCAGCCCCAGCCAGAACGGCCCTGGAGGGCAACCAGTTGGGGAAAGCTGAAATAAATATAAATACATATTTTAATATGAAAAACAGTATTATCTTAACTGCACCTTTAATGCTACACTGTAAAGCATTCTCATCCATCTGAACAGTGGTGCATCCACTCTTGTTAGAAACCAAGTACTATGCTAGTGTACTACTGAAATATAAAATGTCAAGAGCCAAAAATGATTGGTGCAGACCATCTCCACTCCCCAAGCAAAGCTCTGCCATTTTGTGGGCCTTTCCTTCTAAAAGACCCAAAACATTTCTTTTCAAGAGTTTAACACCTGCCATCTTTAAAGCTGGCATGCACCGTATTTTTCCGTATTTTTCCATCTATAAGACGCCCTCATGTACAGTGGACGCTTGGGTTGCGAACGTGATCCGTGCGGGATATACGTTCGCAACCCGCGTCTGCGCACACGCGGGTAGTGAGTCAGTGCATCTGTGCATGCGCAAAGCGCGATTTAGCACTTCTGCGCATGTGCGACTGCCAAAACTCGGAAGTAACCCATTCTGGTACTTCCACGTTTTGGTAGTCCGCAACCTGAAAAAATGCAACCTGAAGTGTCCTACGTGACGTATGACTGTATAATTTTTGGGGACTCAATTTTAAGAAAATGAGGGGAGCTGGCCCAAAATTGTTGAGCTTCTCCCTCTACGCAGGAAACACTCCCTAGATCTTTCCCCACATGCAGCAGCATCGGGGGAAGTTGTGTGCCCGCCAACCAGCTGCCTGGCGGGTGCGCTGCTTCTCTCCCCCCCCATGCCACTATCCGTGTATAGGACAACCCTGTTTTTGACAGGATTTTTGAGTCAAAAAACCCTCGTCTAATACACACAAAAATACGGTATCTAGCAAGCCCCACCTTCCTGCAGGAAGGCTACTCTTATGCCTTCTGCAGCTTTGCATGAAAAGTGATCATTGCATTACTGTAACTAGATTAGGCCCAGCACGAACACCACAAATTAAAACAGTTGCTGTAAACTAGTATGTTTACAGAAGACTAGCCTTCCTGCAGGAAGGCGGGGCTTGCTAGATACCGTATTTTTGTGTGTATTAGACGAGTTTTTTTGACCCAATGCACTGAGGTAAAAAACAATGACTATTAAGAGCGACAACATAAAAAGCCTTAAAATGGTACCTGATGGCTTATTAGATAAAGGTGAAGGGGGAAACCGGACAGAGTTTGTAGAGGAAAGCCTTGGCCTGCGCCTTCTGAAAAAGCTCCTCAGGAGCCCACACTTCAGAGACTCCACAAGAGTAGTTTTCCCAGATGCTGAGTGTCCAAAAAGCTTAAGTTTTATTCTCGGCTGCAGATTATGAGTAGCTCTAAGATGCTGGATGAAAAGTGCTCTGTGTGTATCCTATAAGGCGAAAGCAAAGAATAAAACAAACACGTAGTTGTGAAGAGAAACGCCAAACATCAAAATGCTTCTACTTCTTTAAACACCCCATATTTTCCAGAGTAAAGCAGTTGAGCAGGAATTAGTATTCTGATTCAAGTAGCAGAAATATAACGAATGACGGGAGGGATAGGGGAGACAAAGCCCCGTGGCACAAGGGGAAGCCTCTGTGCTAATGGGACAACTTTGCTGGATACGACCCTGCTTTCCTCTAGGGAAAAGGGAATGCTTTAGCCTTAGGGGATTTTGTTAAAATTAAAGTGATATCTGTCAATGAATTACAAACCATTACTAATTTTTTTTTTAATCTATTATTTTTCATAATATTTTAGGTCCAAGTGAAAAAGCGAAATAAAGCTCGATTCCTCACTCATCTCCTCACCTTTTTTAATCTTGTAAGCAGACTGGCTACGTGTTCGTGTTGCTCTGCTCTAGCCAGGTCTTCTGCTGTTTTTCCATCCTGTTAGAAGACAAGTGATTAGCTCCAATGACTTCTGGCCCACAAGAGAAAAACAGAAACAAAAATGTTCCAGTATCCTCAGGGTGGTAAGAAAATAAATTATGTCAGAAGCAAATGGATTAAGGAAAGAAATAGCAAGGACCTCCTAGCTGGAATCTCTATTTTGTTCTCTTTCTGTTCTTTTTTCTCTTAATGCTTCTTTTATAGAAGCATCCTGATATTACAGAAACACTTGAAGCATTTTTTTTTACCACTTTCAGCATGATTGCTCCCGTCTTTACAAAGAAACAGGCAAAATGCTTTTTCCAAGCCATGTGTTCCTAATACTGCACATGAACAATATGAATCTTTAAAATGCAACGAGGATGATCTGTTGGTGCTCATTTAAATAGGATGCAAGAAATCAAGAATTGTGTTTATATAGCTATGAGAAATAGAGAGGGGGAAATGAATTACTTGGTTACTTTGTCTATCATCTCTGGGAGGTGTTAGTGCAGGGAAGATGACAGCGCAGCTTTAAACAGCTTAAGCAAACTCAGGAGCGGAGCAAATCTGTCTTCAGCAGTCTGCGTTTGACTTTTAATTACCCACATTCCATGAGTCAGCAGTTTGTTGTGAAATGAAGTATAAGAAAAATTGCTTACTGCAATAGCTTCTTAGGGCTGCATTCATGCAACTGTTATACCTTGAGGACCTACCCATTCTGTATTTACAATCTTTTCTGACACAGAACTGCAGTTTCGATTTAAGCAAGGAGAGCTAATGCAGTCCTTCTGATAAGTGTGTTAGCATGTCTTCAATTAAGACCACCAAGATCAACAAAATACTGGAACTCAAAGTGGTTCTTTTCTGCTAACCATTTGAAGACACAGTGCTACCTCATCTATCCAAAACTATGCTTCCATAATCACATATCCCTTAAGCCACTTAAATGAATGCACTTTATACCCATCCATTAAATAAAACACAAGAGTGTGGTGAAAGAATGAAAAAAGCAAACTCCCCTCCCCCCCAGTTTTTCAATACAACCTTATGATGCTGACCAAGTAGTAATTCTAATTGTTATTAGCTAGCGTGCATGCAAGTGTGGACATAGGTGGAGTTATTCTGGATTCTGGGTTCCAAGTAAAAAGTTAAAATCTTCAAAATGAGGCCACTTTATTTCCCTGCTCTGCAGTACAGTTCATGGAGATTCCTTTGAATATGTGAATTAGCTTTAAATCACTGCAAGTGCTGCAGGGGCGATGATGATGATGATGATGATGATGATGATGATAATGATAATAATAATAATAATAATAATAATAATATATTATTTGTACCCCACCCATCTGGCTGGGTTTCCCCAGCCACTCTGGGTGGCTTCCAACAAAGATGAAAAATACAGGCACATAAATTGCACACGGGACGTGGGTGGCGCTGTGGGTTAAACCACAGAGCCTAGGACTTGCCGATCAGAAGGTCGGCGGTTCAAATCCCTGCGACGGGGTGAGCTCCCGTTGCTCGATCCCTGCTCCTGCCAACCTTGCAGTTCAAAAGCACATAAAAGTGCAAGTAGATAAATAGGTACCGCTCCGGCGGGAAGGTAAACAGCGTTTCCGTGCGCTGCTCTGGTTTGCCAGAAGCGGCTTAGTCATGCTGGCCACATGACCCGGAAGCTGTACGCCGGCTCCCTCGGCCAATAAGGTGAGATGAGCGCCACAACCCCAGAGTCGGCCACGACGGGACCTAATGGTCAGGGGTCCCCTTTACCTTTACCTATTATTTGTACCCCATCCATCTGGCTGGGTTTCCCCAGCCACTCTGGGCGGCTTCCAACAAAGATGAAAAATACAGGCACATAAATTGCACGCAAACATTCTCTCTTTCTGTTTCTCTTTACAGCAATGTTGTGAGCCTACGACATAAAACTCTTTGGCTTGCAGCAGGAGAGCCCTGACAACTCGGCAGGTAGACTGAGGGGAGGGGCACACATTTTGGGTGCAAGCTCTGTGCACCTCCTGCCCAAAACCCCCACATGTTACTTAGTTAAAGTGCAGGCAATGATGTGTGTGATAGCTATTTGGTTCTTCAAGAAGGTCAGTTTTAGGAACATTACTCAACCCTGGTGAGAGCTGAAAAGACAGCAGGTGGTGCTGATTGGAGGCAGTGGCGCAGATCCGTTGGACAAGCAGTAATTGTTTTACAAGTTCACCTGCAAGCTTGCTGATCCATTCACTCTGCCTCCCACACATGCCAGTACACTGTGAATTATCCTTCTTATTTTTAGCACGAAAGCTTTCCAGAGGTACTACTTTCAAAAAGGCCTAAATATTGTATTTATAGGTTTTCAACACACATTGTCAGGGGAATAGCTAACATGTTACTGGAAACGAAGTAGACGGGTTCTGAGCAAGAATACTGTTGCTAAGCTAGGAACCGCATTCCAAATTAAATTATTTTAGGCTTAGTGTCAGAAAAGCCTGTATATTGTGTGTAAGATTTTTTAAAAACCTAAGTGTTATAGCTCAGAAGCTCTTTGTGTGTGGGGGGGGGGGAGGGGAAGATTTCAGATAACTGCCAAACCCATATACTAGGTCATACTTACAGAAGTTAACGCCTCCACGTTTGCTCCACTTAGGCAAAGGTACCGGACAACATCGAGAATTCCATTGTTCGCTGCCAGATGTAAAGGTGTCCTACCATACTATAAAATATAAAATAAGACTTTGCTGAAACAATAATCCAGTCAAAATATTAAAATGTTGTGATTGGCTTGCAGACAGAGACATGGTCTTGCACTCAGTCCTCCTTCCATGCAGCTGAAAGGAGGCGTTTGGTGAACAGCAGTTTCCTATTTTTCCCCAAACTGGGAATCAAAGTTTATCACTAACTGCGGCTGGTTTAAAGACGTCACATTTCCTGAACCATGGTTTGAAGTTAGCTTGTTTTGAAACTGGACCATATGGTATTAAACTACAATTCCTGGATAAAGTGGATCGTATTAAACTTCGATTCCTGGTTAAAACGAAGTGGGTAGCTGTAGTTGAGCAAAAGTGAAAGGTTTCAAACGCTTCCTCTTGGCAATGTGAGAGAAAGGAGAAGTGGGAGTTTGCAAGACCAAGGCTCCTTGTGTGCAGCATTGTATCTGAACAGGGTCATACTCTAGGAGCCTCTCAATATACCAGTTTGATATAATCATGCCTCTTGCAGTTTAGTGACTAAACCATTCAGCACACCATAATCTAGCAAGGCGGTTTGTAACCCAAGAAGTGCACTCCCAAGGCTTAATCTTCAGCAGAAGCAAACAACTTTACAGTGGTGCCTACTTACTTTTTCCTCCTTAAAGAAACCTTTAAAACTTCCATGAATCAGTGTTTAGAAACAACATCTGAAAGGAATGTTGAGGTCACAGTACTATAGTAATTCATCTTGCTGTCTGGAGAGGGGAACTATGGATTCACACTAAACACATTAAAGGAATTCCTACACTTGTTGATAACTTTTGCTTGAGGGCACTCTACTGCCCAGTACTAAAATCCTAGATATCTGCATTGTTTTCTATAGGCAGCTCTCATTTTCTCGGGGGGGGGGGAGGTGGAGAGAGGGGGGAAAGCATCTAAAACAGCGGTGGCAACACACACACACACACACACACACACACACACACAAAATTCTGCTATGACTATATAATTTAGGGATTTCTATAGGAGTGCAGAAACACAAGTGTCTGCATATTTTAAAGCTTGTATTAAGGCTTCTGGAAGTTTTACTTCTAAAATACGAAGTTGTTGCAAATTACATACAAGTCTGTGTTCTTTTTGTAGGATAATTAGAACCATGTATGTTGTTACTTCTTCCATCGTTTTTGTGAAATCCTGGCTTTACCGCCAGACACAGAATGAACATTTACTTGGTTAACACATTTTCTGTGCACCTTCTGGGCAAAGCTGCTTAGTGATATTACCTTATCTGTGCTGCTGTAATTTCATCAAATATTATGACCTTTTAGAGCACATGCACAGTAATATTTCACCTTTCCTTAATTAATCTGGAGAAGCAGCAAAGAAAGAAAGTTAATAAGAGCTTGAGTTTGAGAACTACTTGCATTTATAACTCCTGGCATCTCCAGTCAAAGGATCTTCAACTGAAGAGCTGGGGAAAATATTTTTCCCAAACTCTGCAGAACCCCTGTCAGTTAGAGTCATCTCCACTAGGCTGAACAGATTATTTACCTGACACTATACAAGACAGTGACATATCCAATAAACTGCTTAATGTCACGTTTAAGGATCCAGAATGGATGCTTCATTAAGTCCATTATTCCTTGTCAAAAGATTTGATTGTGAAGATGATTTACAGAATGTTTTGTGCTCAAAGTCGAACAAGCTAGTTGAATAAAATTCATGGCATCTAATGATGTCACAAACCGAAAGAGCTTAAGGTGCAAACGATCATACATGTGTAACGAAACTACTTGACCTCTTTAGATGGAGGGGTTTGCTTTTTTCCCCAGGGGGAAACTGGTGCCAAGCCACTGAGACCAGTAGAAGATTTTCAGCCATAAAGTCAAGCCTTTAGCTGTATTAACTCTGCTTCCCTGAAAACTGAATTTCTATCATGGTTCTGCATTTAATTGCTCAATCAGTCAGGATTAAGCTAACGCAAGAGGGCAGAGGGCTTATTATCATAAGCTTTTTACTTGGCAGCTGGTGACACTTAAATTTAAAAATAATCCAAATAAATGACTGCACAGGGTCAGCCAAAAACCCGCAACTTTCCATGGTGGGTTGTAGCACAGAAGGTCATGAAGGGTGTTTAGGTGGTCAGGCTGTAACTGCAATATTACAATGTTCCTTGAAAGGAATGCAAGGACTCTTGAATTGAACCGATTTGTGTCATATAAAAGCTGCATTATTCAAAATATCCTTCACTTTTGTAGCATTATAGAATCCAAGATTTGCCTCCCTCCCTACCTATACACACAGAGTGTGTCAGCTTTAGGATCTCTAAAGCCATTGAAATTAGCACCAGGAAAAATCCTGAAGTTCTACAAACTCCTACATGGAAAGTCACAAGAGTCAAACCTGCTAAGTACTGTATTTCGCTTTCCCACATACTGCTGAGCCATTTTCAGAAAGAAGTAACACCAACACTACAGAGGCATACAATGTTTTTGCAATGCAATTAACAGCAATCTTCTAATGCACAAAGGAACAAGAGTTGCTGAGATGTATTATTTACCAGCTGCATGGAAGCAAAATAAAACATGAGAAGCTGTCTAAGGGATCTAAGCCTTTCCACCTTAGGACCTAAAAGCATCCTTACACCCACATGCTACCTATCACCAATGCACCTTTTCCCCAGTTAATTACTAGTTTGCTTAATGCATCAACTTTCTTGCTCGCTTCTGCTACCTCAGAAGCAGCTGAGCACTGCCAGAAGGTGAGTGGCCAACCTGCCAGGAGGTGGGTAGGCAATGTTGCTGAAAAACAGCTTGAAGGGGTCTATATGCCTCTATAATGTCAGAACCGAAAACTGCACTGATAAATTTCTGATTGCACAAGAACAGTATGAAGAATTTTGTGTAAACTGGGACAACAGTGGTACCTCGGGTTAAGTACTTAATTTGTTCCGGAGGTCCGTTCTTAACCTGAAACTGTTCTTAACCTGAGGTACCACTTTAGCTAATGGGGCCTCCTGCTGCTGCTGCGCCACTGGAGCACGATTTCTGTTCTCATCCTGAAGCAAAGTTCTTAACCTGACGCACTATTTCTGGGTTAGCGGAGTCTGTAACCTGAAGAGTATGTAACCTGAAGCGTATGTAACCCGAGGTACCACTGTATGTGTCAAATTCAGATTCTCAGCAAATAAAATGAAGGGCGACTTAACCTGGCATGAGGAAATAAAAATACATGTCTAGAAGATACAGTGGTACCTCAGCTTAAGAACACTCCTGTTTACCAATGATTCGGTTTATGAACTCCGCAAAACTGGAAGTAGTGTCCTGGTTTGCGAACTTTACCTCAGTCTCCGAACGATGGAAGGGCACCGGCAGCGGAAGGCCTCATCAGGGAAAGTGCGTCTCGGTTTTAAGAACGGTTTCAGTATAAGAACGGACTTCCGGAATGGATTAAGTTCGTAAACCGAGGTACCACTATATAAGTATATTAGCTTAGTATGTGAAGAGACGAGGGATTCTCTGGATACTGAGGCTATTCAAATAAAATAATATAAAATTCACCAAAGGACATGGGGGGTAGACAATCATGAGAACTACCTAATAGGTACTAATTACACTGAACAACGAGCATTCACTCTTGAAATGGAACCACTAGCTGTAGAGAAATATCCCCTTTCCTCCCTCAGAGATTAGCAATTACATTTTCGGTACTCAGAAAATGGGAGTTTTCATTTAATTGTAGCCTTTTTTGGGGGAGAAAGAACTGTTTGATCCCTCTCAAGTGCAAACCTACTGTGCATTCAGTGCTGGAACAATTTGTCATCTGGAAAAGCCCTTAGTACAAACACTGCAGGGTTGCTGGGTGTTTTTTTTTTTTTTAAAGTACCTTATTGGTTATATCGATGTTACAGTTTGCTTCACAGAGTGCCATCACAATGGGAATGTTTCCATCTTTGCAGGCCACATGGAGAGGAGTGTTCCCATGTCTATCCTGGAAATCTATGGAGCATCCCTGTACGATAAGCATTTTAACCACTTCCAGCTGACATCTTCGGACTGCAAGGTGAAGGGCTATGTGTCCGTCCTAAATGCACACAAAAAAAGAATGACCAGCTGTTTCTTGCGTTGCAAACAAAATCAATAACTGTTTTTTAACAGGTTTATATCAGAAGCAAATGCAATAATATTCAGTCATTTTGAGCACCACAGAGCTCCTTTTGGGCTTTGTGGAACCCGATAACTTCCTAGTTAAGTCAGTTTCTGCAGTTGGATGTAACACTAAACCGTGGTTTAAAATTACTAGAACAAGATTAACCTCCCTCTGGACTGCTGTGCTCCCTCTGTCCTCACATGACTGTGAGCAGGAACATTACTGTGATGCATCTGGAATCTTCCATTTCAGATTAACTGCCATTTGGTGTGTCAACTGAACTCTAAAGTATGGTTAATGTCAACTATGAATATAAACCAGCTTAATAACTCATTAACCAAAGTTAAGATTAATCACACTTTAGAGGTTTCAGAAGGCATCCTAAACTGTAGTTAATTCTAAAGATGCTTCCATTCTTCCTTGTGGAAAACCAAAGAAGGAGGGAAATGCAGGAACAAGAGGCTAGGATTGTTCTTGTATGCTAAATTATCACTTTACTTCTGAACCAGCCCACTGTGGTCCAGCGGGCTGTGGGCTGGATTGTAGAGGAATGTTCTTAATGCCCTGCTTGACCATGAAGCCCATTTGATGATCGGGAGTCATCAACTTCAGAGTTGCGGTTAGGATAAAATGGCAGTCACCATAGGTTTTCAACCGTGACCACCTTGGACTGAGGTACAAATGGTTTGTCCCATAAAAAGTTACATCCTTTCCTGGCTTGTTTGGGACCCAAATGAAAAAAGAAATGTTCTAGATAAATGAAAGAGTAGATTTAAATAGCACAGCTTAGCCCATGTACATTTCCCTGGTACTGAAAGCTACTCCCTTACAGGTGTCAAGAAAAAGACCAAACAGGAACTTCAAAACTACCTCATGAAAAACTAGTCCTGTTTAATTAGCTGCACATTCAGTTAGCATTGTGCAGTGCTTAGAAGGTTATGAGGAAATTTCTATATGAATCTATCACAGACAAAACCACTTGAATTTTTCCACTTTCCACAATGATTCTTTTGCTGTAAGTACAGTACGGATGCAGAGAATTGCAAGTAAGACTCACAATGAAAACTCTTAAACTGCAAAAGAAAGAGCTATTTAAAGAAACCCCGAATTTCTAGTAAGAGAGATAGAATTGTACTTTTCTTCCTTCAGTACGTCTTGATGATAATGAATACTGCTGAGTTTGTGCTCATTGTGACACTTCTAAACAGTAAGCGGAGTTTTGCTGGAGAGACTCTAACCTCATATATGGGAAAGAGACCTTGTGGTAAACGGAGGACTCACAAACACACTAGAGTTTCCTGGATTTCAGATACTTAAAAGTTGGAAATAAAAGCTTCATTTGCTTGCTTACGGTATATGGGAAAAGATCTCTGAGTTATTCAAAAAGGGGCCTCAAATCTAGGGTTATTGTCAAAGACTTTTACATTTTTTGATTTGTTTTTTTATGCTGCTCTATGTCTTAGAAGTAATTCACATTGAATTCAATGCAGCTTACTCCCAGGAAAGTGGGAAAAGGACTGAAGCTTGAACTTCTTATTCAGCTAAAAATGCCTTGTTTCTTTTACCACTTTGCCTTCTAAGTGTCTCTCTGATTGATAAAGAACCAAACTGAGCTCCTGCTGCAGGCAAGATAGAGGGCTCTGACCATGGATGAGAGCCCATCAATCCAGACTATGGATTATCCTTTCATAGGGTCAAGCTGGAGTCGGAGTTGGATCAATCAATCTTCAAAGACTGGATGCAGACAAGGAAGAAACTGCAAACTTCTAGTAATCTATCTGTATGCTGAGCATCATATATTTTCACCATCTTATTTCTACTTCAAGTATTTAATAAAAATTAAAAAGTCTTGCTATCATTTGGGATGTTCTGGTGGAAGAGCCTTATGTCTCCCAAAATGAACAGCTGAACCACAAAGGAGATCACTATACAGTTATATGAAATAAGCATAGTAAATGCAATTAATTAATTTTTCATAGTGCTGTATCCTACTTCTTAATTTAATGATTAACAATGACATGCAATATCCAAACAAGTTATGAAAGCTATTTAAAGCTCTTCTCTACTATTCAAAACCTTTATAGACAATTTCTTGCTAAATGCGACTCAATTCAACCATAACTAACCTTGTCAGTTGCATCAAGGTCAGCGCCATGCTCCGCCAAACATTCCACAATATCATGGTAACCTCTAGCCGAGGCTGTCAAGAGTGGAGTTTCTCCTTCCTTATTTTTAACATTCACATTGCAGCCTGCCTTGCAGAGTGCTTTGGCAACAAGGTAGTATCCATGCCAAGCAGCACAGTGCAAAGGAGTTTCTTCTTCCTATAAAACAATTTAGTAACATTGCTATTAACAAAGCTGACATAATGCTTAAACAACACTTCCAATTTTGACTCAATAAATCTAACTCCTAGGCAAATGTTGCAATCCCATTAAAAGGTTATCAACAGGATGTGCTTCGTATTTGTGAATTAGTGCCCTTCAATGCATCAAGCAGGCATAATGGCCCATGTGCTGGGGTCGATATCTGAAGGAGGAAGCACACACAAGTAGGAGATTTGTGCATAGGCTTCATCCATGCAGATGTCCTTGTCATGATCTCCAACAGCAGTGTGTTCCAGCTCCCCAATTGATGTGCGGCAGACTTGTGGAACTGCAAATTTTATTAGTTTCATATCTATAGATCACAAACAATCCCAAGAGTTAATTCCCCCATCAACAAACACTGAAAAGAATATTATTACTACTACCATGATTAAACTGGATGATATCACTAGTAATACATGCAGTGAATTACTCAAGGGATACAGGGTAAATCCCATGTAGCATAGCTATGAATGGTATAGGGAAGGGGGACTCTTCCCTATGGTATAAAAAAGGGGGGAAATTTTTACTTAGGACCAGATAGCCCAACAATCTGTGTGAACACATGAGACGTCCCAACCATTCTGGAGCAATCACAGTGGGAAACAACTCATAAGACTGCACTAAACCGAGGAAATAAGAATTGCAATTTATTAAATCAGCAATGACTATATTTGTGACTGACTGGGTCCCATATGCTTCTCTACCAAGTTGGCAATTATAATATATTCACAGAAACATTCAGTGAGAAGTAGCCTTAAACAGGCCTTTTCAATCCATTTTTAATATTTAGTGTTGGTGATTAGTTGGTGAAGGGCCAAAGTTCAGCAGTAGAGCACGTGGTTTGCATCTTCAGCTGGGCCTGGGAAGGACTGCTGCATGAAACACTGGGAAGCTGCATGATGTTACGTAATCTTGCTATATTTACAGTACTGAAATGTGGCTTTTTGGTATGTTATATTTTGTTTTGCTTTGTTACTACGAAATTGTTTTGTAGCTTGTTAGAAGTACATCCCTGTTTCTTTGCTGTAAGCCACCTGGAGCAGGCTTTCTTGTGGAAAGTAAAGGTAAAGGGATCCCTGACCATTAGGGTCCAGTCGTGACCGACTCTGGGGTTGCGGCACTCATCTCGCTTTATTGGCCGAGGGAGCCGGCGTACAGCTTCCGAGTCATGTGGCCAGCATGACTAAGCCGCTTCTGGCGAACCAGAGCAGCGCACGGAAACGCCGTTTACCTTCCCGCCGGAGCGGTACCTATTTATCTACTTGCACTTTGATGTGCTTTTGATCTGCTAGGTTGGCAGGAGCAGGGACCGAGCAACGGGAGCTCACCCCGTCACGGGGATTCGAACAGCTTACCTTCTGATCTGCAAGACCTAGGCTCTGTGGTTTAACCCACAGCACCACCCACGTCCCGTTCTTGTGGAAAAGTGGCATACAAATAAAATGAACGAATGAATGAATGAAATCTGCTACTAGTACGTGCGTAATATGGACTACAGGCCTCATTAGGTGGTTGTCAACTAGGTTTTACTCACAGGAGACCCATAGAAACTGGAACGTTAGGCCCACTAATTTCTACTCTAAGTAAAAAACCCACATGGTAATTTCAAGCACTGAATGGGAAGGAATCCTGGTTTTGCTTAGCCGCAGAAAAAAGGCTTAATCTCTACTACTCACCTTATCTTGAAAATTTGGATTTGAGCCAATGCTACACAAGACTTGAACCACATCAACGTGACCATACCGAGATGCCACATGGAGTGCAGTTTCTCCAGACTGAGAAGAAGACAAAACACACACAAGCGTTATTCTTCATGCCACACTGTGGAATACAGTGGTACCTCGGGTTACATACACTTCAGGTTACAGACTCCGCTAACCCAGAAATATTACCTCGGGTTAAGAACTTTGCTTCAGGATGAAAACAGAAATCGTGCAGCGGTGGCAGGAGGCCCCATTAGCTAAAGTGGTGCTTCAGGTGAAGAACAATTTCAGGTTAAGAACGGACCTCCGGAACGAATTAAGTTCTTAACCCGAGGTACCACTGTACTCCCAACATCATGGATTATATTGATTCCTATAAATACTGGATGGGAACAATCTATAGAGAGAGATTTGCCCTTTTTCTCCCGTGCCAGTTTCAAAGAAAAACAACAACAGCAGCGATAATATGAATACTACAAATAAACAAAAAGGTTCTGCTTTGGAGCTTGTTGTGGGCTACTGCTGGCTGGAAAATAGCTTGGGGTAGCATTACCTACAGGCATCCACACTGACTGGTGGATAACCCACCCCATCCCAGTGCAGGTCAACAGACCTGTGGCACATACTAACCTTACTCTAACAGAAAACTTCAGGAGTTAGCATAGAACAAGTACTTTAACAGAATTAATGTTATTTAATTTTTAGAAACACTGTAGCCTGCCTTAAACCTGAGCACTGGATGGGTCAGGCTGCATTCACATACACATTTATTTCGGAGTAGGCCCCACTGAAAGCAATGTGGGTGGCGCTGTGGTCTAAACCACTGAGACTCTTGGGCTTGCCAGTCAGAAGGTCGGCGGTTTGAATCCCCGGGACGAGGTGAGCTCCCGTTGCTCGGTCCCAGCTCTTGCCAACCTAGCAGTTTGAAAGCATGCCAAAAAGTGCAAGTGGATAAATAGGTACCGCTCCGGCGGGAAGGTAAACGGCATTTTTGTGCGCTGCTTTGGTTTGCCAGAAGCGGCTTTGTCATGCTGGTCCCAACTGTCTGCGGACAAACACCAGCTCCCTCGGCCTGTAAAGCGAGATGAGTGGCACAACCCTAGAGTTGTCTGCGACTGGACTTAACTGTCGGGGGTCCTTTACCTTTACCTTTCTTAGGTCCCACTGAAGTCAGTGGGGATTATTTCTGAGTAGAGAAGCTATACGATGGCACCACAAGGCTATCTAAAATAGCCTCCAACAGATTTAAAAGTTTGCCCTTACCTTGTCTCTAACATCCAAAGGACATTTATTTAGATGGAGGAATTTCAGAGTTTCGACGTGACCATGTCGAGACGCCCAGTAGATTGCATTAGATCCTGCCTGTCCAAAATATTTGATGATGGCAATCAATAAAACCATAAGCAAATTGCAGCAACCTATTCCAACACACTTAGGATAATGTTACACGATGAGGAGAATTATCAAGATCTAACAAAGCGACTTTTCCAAAGTGGAAACATTTTGTTTAGGTATTCATTCAAATAAAATGAATTCATATGGGTATTAACTTGCTGATACTAACGAAAGGGTGAGAAATGCAATTGCTCTTTGCCAAATTTAGAATATGACTGACTGAGCTGCAGGAATGATTGCAATCTATAATCTTGATTTACAATAATGTAAACAAATGTTCGATCTGTTTCCTTCTAAAATGCACTGCAAATAAGTAACAAATTTAGATACCACTCTAAACAATTGTCTCACCTTATCTTGGACATCAATGCGGGCACCTCGCTTTAAGAATAACTGAAGCATTTGAATATTTCCACATCCAGCAGCAATCAGAAATGGAGGTGTCCCATGCTGCAATGAACAAACTGTTAAAAACTGATCACTTTTCTCAATAATAATAATTTATTATTTATACCCCACCCATCTGGCTGGGTCTCAAGAGATTATGGGAGAGAACAACATATATATATATATATATATATATATATATATATATATATTGGCCGCCGCGCCGCCAGAGCCCGATTTCTGTTCTTATCCTGAAGCAAAGTTCTTAACCTGAAGCACTATTTCTGGCACACACACACACACACAGTGGGACCTCGGGTTACATACACTTCAGGTTACACACTCCGCTAACCCAGAAATAGTGCTTCAGGTTAAGAACTTTGCTTCAGGATAAGAACAGAAATCGGGCTCTGGCGGCGCGGCGGCAGCAGGAGGCCCCATTAGCTAAAGTAGTGCTTCAGGTTAAGAACAGTTTCAGGTTAAGAACGGACCTCTGGAACGAATTAAGTACTTAACCCGAGGTACCACTGTAGCTAGTTGGTAGTCTCTGATTTAATTTTTTAACAGATTTTATTATATATGAAGGCAAGATTGTAAACCGCTTTGATTTTTTAATGATATAGTGGTATATGGATATTTATAAATACATATACATGTTTTAGCTGATGCAAAATCTGTGTACGAAGAGTAAGCATCTGCTTTTGAAGAGCTGCGTCAAAATCGCTCTGAAAGTCCAGATACATTTAACAAACATCCAAAAATGCAATGCTATGAGTTTCTGAGAAAGATTTAGAGTGGGTCCGGTGCACCATGCACAATAGCTCTCTGTATGTAATAAAACCTATAGCTAACATGCAGAGTCTTTATTTTTCATTATTAGGATTATTGTTTTCATAATGTAGTGAGCAACAGTACTGCTAAATTTAGCTTTGTGAACATTGTGTAAGTTGGCATCGTATTTCAAAAAGGATATTGACAAATCATGAAAAACCAATTCACTGGAGAGATGCAAAGACAATGAAAGATTTGGAAGATAAATAATGATTGAAGGATAAAGGCGCTGAATATTTTAATTATACAGAAAAGCAAGTTTTTCAGGGCTGGAGGTACACTGCCGGTTTTCAAGCATTTATGAAAAGGAAGAGGAACAGCTAACTATGTAACACCTCATTCTCACAGCAACAACCATCCATTCCACCCTCTCATGCAGACAGCGCCAGATACCTCCCTCCCCAGGACCACCCAATGAGAGGCAGCAATGGTAGCTTTTGGATCCGACATGGTTTTTTTTGGAGGGGAGGCCTAAACTGCACACAACAGCCTTAGCTTTTCCTTCTTCTCCACTCATCACTGCTGGCAAATCTGGGCAAAGACATCAAGAATGGAAGTAACTGTCGATAGATGTTGTGATATTTTCTCAAAACGGGTGTTGAAAGCTAGATATCAAGTGGGAGAGATAGCTCCTTGTCCACACATGCAAATAAAAACCCCCAAACAAAACTGTGTCCTCTGTAACCTTCCCAGGAAGATTTTCCTGAATTGATATTGGAATGCTCATGAGTCTTTGGGCTGATCTTTGTTTGTCAGTAAAAATGATAGCTTCTTCTTCTTTAGCTGCTAAATCTATACAGCAACAGCATACCTTATTAGGTTGATTGACATCATAATTGGTCAAAGAGCCCAGAAGGTGCTGGAGACCAGGAACGTTGTCATCATTGATGGCATGAATGATGGCTTTCATTACAAATGAATCTTCCTCGTCCTCATAAATTAACCAGAAAGTAGATGGGAAGGGAAAGACAAGAGAAAAAAAAGTTATTAGCTTTGAGAGGGAAGAGGGTATGGAAAGGAAATAAACTCTTCAGCAGCAATATATTGTCATTTCACAGTATGACTGCCATTCCCAATGGGAAACAAGCTGTTATAACATTTGCTTAAATTCTGGAGGTAATTTACTTTCTCTAATAAGAGTCTCCTTTTTTATGCATCAGCACATATCACTGACCCTGATTTAAAAGAGCTCTATTATGCATTTCACAATTCGTTTTTTAAAAGCTACATCAACATAAAAACAGGAATAAGAAGCATCTATTTCCCAAGAACGACATCTTAAAGCAGAACAGTGCTATAAATTACTCCTATCTAGAGTTTATAAGGTTTTAAACCACAGTGGCACGAGGCTACAATTCTACTGGGAGCTGGTTCTGCAACGGTTACGATTACTGATTCAACATTAAAAAATAACAGCACATCAATAAGCAGAGATTTCATTTACAAAAATGTAGAAGTTAGCAAAGTGAGATAAAGAGAGTAAGACAGAAAGACTTGCTACTCTGCAGAATTTTTAATGCCTAAGGACTTTTAATTCTAAGGGAAAAAATGTTTGCATGATACTTATTAAAACTAGTACAGTGGTACCTTGGTTTAAGAACAGCTCTGTTTACGAATGATTTGGTTTACAAACTCTGCAAAACCGGAAGTAATGTCCTGGTTTGCGAACTTTACCTCGGTCTAGGAATGGAACCCGAATGGTGGAAGGGCACCGGTGGTAGGAGGCCTCATTAGGGAAAGCGCGCCATGGTTTAAGAATGGTTTTGGTTTAAGAATGGACTTCCAGAATGAATTAAGTACGTAAACCGAGGTACCACTGTATTTAAGAACACATTTCATAAAGTACAGAATCAAACCTTTAAAAAGAAATCTACAGGATTTATGCACCTCCAAGTGTAAATCAGAAAGACTCAAAACAGATAGCATACCTGCTTTCATGTGAAAGCATAAAAAGGAAGTGTTGCTGGTTTAAACTAAACACGCAATACATTATGATGTCTAAATTAAGAACAGCTGTTTCAACTATGGTTTATTAAAGCAAACCTAAACCAAATATCACAATCTGAGCCTGGCTTGTTTTAAAAAAAAAGCATAGTTCAAAGTAACCACACTTTTGCTTAGTGTAGACATGATGAGAATCTAAAGCAAGTTTAAAACCAGGAAGCAAATGCTTCCAGTTTTTGCATTATGGTCACTAAAATATGGTTTAGTCTTAAAACCAAAAACTATGGGTGTTTTACTCAGCAGACCCACTGAAATTAATGGGTCGAACAGTTATGTTTATTAATTTTAATGGGTCTGTTCAAGGACCTGGGAAACCAGGGTTCAAATCCTCACTCAGCCATGAAGCTCACTGGGTGACCAACAACTTATTGGGAATGGCACAGAGTCTCTTCTCACATCTCTTGGCCAGCTACACGGTTACACAAAAGCAAATAAGGTGGCCGCACCTCTCAACTGTATCACACTGATGGCAGCTCAGACAAGCGGAAGGGGGAGAATCTTCTTACACTTTGGTACCCCAATGTCCGCCAGCCAAGCTACTGCTGTAATTAAGGTGACCTGTACGAAGGAGGGAGACAAAATGCCAACCCAATTTTCTGTTTGATTCCTGCTGTTCTCCTCTATCTACTTGAGAGACTTCTGGCTTGTTTCTAGATTTAACCCATTAGTGGTGCTCAAATAGCATTGCAATGAATTAGCTTCATCCAGAAATATGGAAAGCAGAACTGACTGAGCAAAATTTAGTCATCTATCTTAAATTAGATTACAGGTATTGTCCACATATTGTCTTTTGTCTTTATTTATTGCTCAGTTCCTTGGGATCAATTTGAAACACCTGCAAGGGACATTACAGTTCCAATTACTACAGTTCAGAAGATGTTATATGCTATGTTAATCCCCATACTCCCAAGTATTTACTTACCAGAGTGTCATCGCTCCTAGCCACGCTCATGTTACTTCTGGACAAAAAGGATCTTGATAATCTTTGGCATAGCGATATTAAGCGCACTGATTGCTTTTGTAAGAGAAGAGACAAATATTTATGTGAAACCATAAAAACTCATTATAGGAAACATTTCTGATATGAGTTCAGTTCCGCAAGCAATATGGCTAAACTGTTAGTAGTTGCATTCAAGCTAAGTCTCAAAGGTCTGTATTTTTATATGGTTCATTTGCCTCAAGATAATAGTATGGTTACACACTCCATACTTCCCTGAGTAATCCAGGGGTCATGCTCTAAAATATAGTGTCCTTTAGATGAAAGAGGCTGCAGACTCACAATGTATCTGCAATATTTGTTCAGCAGGATCGCTACAGAGGGCAGCAAAAAGATTTGCTCCTACATGAATTTTGCAGGAAGGAAGTGCAGACACCCTGACAGTTGTTTCCAGTCCAGGTTAAGTCCTGATAAAACCTTTATTCCCCCTGCCCTTGTTGTATCCAAACTGAACTGCCAACTCTCTCTATTTCTTCCCACTTTACCTTGCAGAACGATCCTCTCAGATCTGATTCCCTATAGACAAATTGCCCATCCAAAATATAAAATAAAATAGTGTCGTCTGATGGTGAGTTAGCCAATGGTACCCCCTCCAGATGTTGCTGGACTTCAATTCCCATCAGCCCCAGAAAGGACAGCTGATGGTCCAGGATGATGATTATAGTCCAACAACTTCTAGAGCAGGCTTCCTGAACCTCGGCCCTCCAGATGTTTTTGGCCTACAACTCCCATGATCCCTAGCTAGCAGGACCAGTGGTCAGGGATGATGGGAATTGTCTCAAAACATCTGGAGGGCCGAGGTTCAGGAAGCCTGTTCTAGAGGGCACCATTACAGGCAACTCCCCGGTTGTGTGGGGATTGCGTTCTGGGTCACTGTGCGCTTGTGTGAAATCACATGTAATCAGAACACCCATTGAGAAAGCCTGCAAACACCACACTCTGTCCCTGCCTTGCCTCTTTTGGTGACGTTTTCAGGTCACTTTTTGGTCTGGAATGATGCAGTTGCACACATATCAGACACACCTAAAATGGTCACTGCCTGTATTTCCCACTGAGGAAAGATCCACTGATCATCAGTGAATGATTGCTAATAAGCATATTAATAAAACAGGGCTGTCAAGCAGCAACACAACCAATATTACCATGTTAGTACTATGTGGCATATCGTTCTATGTGGCATATGGTTCAATGTGCCATTGTGGAATGCTACATTTGCAGAGGCATCTAATTTTCGAGGGCTTCTGTCATATGGTGAATATGACAAGGCATACTGGACATTAAGTATCTGCCACTGAAAACTGATGTGGCCAAATAACCTTGGAATGCCTTATTATCACATTAGAAAGTCTTATGAGAGTCAGATCTAGGACAAATTTGGGATCTATTTTTATAGGGCTGAATTCATCAACAGCCACATCTGCCTTGCATTTGGTGATCTTGTTTCCAAGAAGTTCTTCTCTTTGGTTGGACTTATTTGCTAACTCTCTCTCTCTCTCTACTAACAGTTATTATCCCCTGATGATAATTATGCACACTGTTCCATATCTCTTTCTTCCAAGTTATCCTACACGTCTCTTTTTCACAGTTTGCAAGAAACTCCTTTCTGCTCTTACTTCCTCCTGCTCTTCTTTCATTTCTCAAGATACACTGGAAATACTATCTGCTGCTCAGCTGTAATGCCCTGTACCAATTTCACTCTAAAAGTCTAACAAATATACAAGAAGTTCAGGACTGAACTTAACCAAATCATTTAAGGCCCAGATGAAGCTCTCAATAGCTTTCATGTGTTAATATATACTGGCTAGGTTGATACGCCATGTTAAACTATACTTAATCTTTAACCATTCATTCCCACTTGCTCCTTCTTTACTCCTGGCCCAGTTGTGCTGGGGACAATAAACGAGGATGAGCCGTGGGTACCATCATGCTGCTTGTTCCATGTTAGAGCATAGTTAAGCATTATGATTTCATGTGAGCCGCTGTTACATGTACTTATTCCAAAGCCAAAGAACAATAGTTACTATAAAGAACTGTTAGGTCTTACTTTCCATTTCCTTCGTGCTGCGAACTTCTTGAATTTTTCCATATTCACGGCAGATGCTTTTCTACTAAGTGCTTGAAGGGTGTCCTTCGGCTGTGAGAAAATTAAAACAACACTTTGAAATGCTATATCCTTCAGTGAAGAAGCGAAGAAGATATTGCCTTCTACATGGGCAAAAGAAAGAGGTAAAACTAATATAATAATCTATGCATTGCACACTAACCTTAATCCATGGGTGCTGCAAGCTGTCTTGAATTGTCATTCTCTTCCTTTTAAAGGAGAAAAAAAAATTCATTTCATTTATTACTTTTATGGTCTGTATTTCCTTCAAAGGCCTCAAAAAGGCATATACGTACCCCTATTTTTATTCTCACAACAATTCTGTAAGGTAGGTTCGGCTGAGAAATGATCCCATGGTCAGTTTCATAGATTAGTGGACACTTAAACGTTATGTCTTCCTGGTTCCAGCTGGAGATTCTGAACATTACACCAGACTAGTTCTAACATATTCTTCAGGCGCTTACTTCCACTACATATTTATACAGCACTGAAAACATGCTAGAAGTAACTAATAAATAAGCAAATGCAAATTGTATAAAGTGGTGTGGTAAGGGCAGCAATGGGATGCGGGTGGCGCTGTGGGTTAAACCACAGAGCCTAGGACTTGACGATCAGAAGGTCGGCAGTTCGAATCCCCGTGACAGGGTGAGCTCCCGTTGCTCAGTCCCTGCTTCTGCCAACCTGCTCCACTTCGAAAACACGTCAAAGTGCAAGTAGATAAATAGGTACCGCTCCGGTGGGAAGGTAAACGGCGTTTCCATGCGCTGCTCTGGTTTGCCAGAAGCGGCTTAGTCATGCTGGCCACATGACCCAGAAGCTGTACGCCGGCTCCCTTCGCCAATAAAGCAAGATGAGCGCCGCAACCCCAGAGTCAGACACGAATGGACCTAATGATCAGGGGTCCCTTTACCTTTACCTTAAGGGCAGCAAACTTGACAGCTTGGATCAACAAAACAGTGAAGATCTCCTTCACTTTGAAAGGCATAAGGGTAACTACCAACTAATCCTGTTTGCTTGAATCACAAAATGAATCCTGGAAGAAACTTACTTTGGATCCTTGATTAGTAGTCTTCTTATAAAATCTTTCGCTAAAGCACTGGTGTTGCTGAAGAATTCCTCCTCGAAGTCATAGTTCACTGCAGACACATTGGCTAATGTTTCTTGTTTGGTCTCTCCCAGAAACGGCGATGCACCACTCAGACTGCAAAAAATAAGTTCGGTCACAATGATATAGTATGACTCCAGGACAAAAAGTTTGGTTCCAGGATTGAGTTTTAAAAGTGATTCTGAAGCTCAGCCCAATAACTTAAACAAGGCCTCCACTATCTTCTCACAGTGACTGCAACTCTCAGAATTTACATATTTTCGCTTTTCATCATTTATGCTGACTGCATGGAAAAATTCACACTATTCAAATAAAATAAAATTATGTTCCCATATAGAGGAACATAATAATAAATCGTAACATTGAAAATAAGGACAGCAACAAATTATATTTGTAATCAGTAGTTTGAAGTATATATTTGGAAAATTATGTACAACTATCCAAAACATGGGCCTGGATAGATAAGTAACCTTGACTATAACTTTGTGAAGTTGATTTAATAACCAAATGGGTAAAACTAAGTGATTTAGAGTGTTAATACTTACAGAATATACGTTATTACACCAATACTCCTGAAAAAAGAAAGAGTGTCTATCACTATTCAAAAAGACACAAAAAAATTACAAAACTTTCCAAGTGCAGAAGAATTGTGAACTTACCACATATCTGCCTCAAGGCCCAGTGGTTCATAATTTACTATTTCAGGAGCTAAGAGACAAAGCAGAAGTTTTAGTCCATAGCAGAGCGGTTTGACACGAAACAATATTTTTTTTCAGCTATGAAGCATACATACCACAAGGGTAGGGTCTAGAATGAGCAAATGGAAAAAGCAGATTTTCCAACAGGAATCATCTGTACATTAGTTTACAAGCTGCATTAGTTTACACAAATGCAGAGCCACAAACATTTTATCGTTCGTTTATTTTACAATTCATTCTATCACAACCTCACCCCCTTTTAAACTTTTTATGAAACTGATTCAGACTGTTCTGTAAGATATTTATTCATTATGATCCCCTGTATTTGAAAACAACACATTCCATGTATATACTATTGCCAGATGTATTCACGTTCCCAAAACATCTGCTGTGTATTGTATCCAGGGCTGATTTTGAAGACTGTCCAGAAACTTCAGCTGGCCAGGATCATCAAACCAGAACTAAAAATTGCCACATTTGCATCTGGAGAGATGTAGAAGTTTTTAACTTATAAAACTATATACATTAGTTTGGGACTGTCTGCTTCCATAGGAATCTGTGCATCAGCTTTGAGAACGACCTGCCTTCAGTGATTAGGTGCAGAGTAGAATCATCCTGGAGGGGGTGCTATTTTCTCAGGAGGAGGAAAAGGTCAGAGGAGCTTTGGATCAAGTTTACTGTGCGATCTGCACATGCCTACCCCAAAGTAAGGCAATGCCATTCCACTAAACTGATTTCCTTCTCTCCTTTTGCCACTGCTGTTTTACTGCTACTTTGTCTGTGGTTTTAGTTATAAAGCAATCATGTAAATACAAAATTGCTTTTTTATATTAAAAGTATTGTTTTAAGTTGTTTTTACCATCTTATCCACCTTACAAGCTTTATATTGAAAGGCAGGACATAAATCTTTCAAATTAAAAATATATACTGTATATAGACAGTCCAGGCAGAAAATCATGACTCTGACATACAGAAAGGAAAGGGCGTTAAATTTGCAAATATTCAAATTCAAATTAGTTTGAATGCAGGTAAATATTACCTACCTAGAAACAGTGTTCAAGAGGATGGGCAACATTTAAAGAGAACTTGTAAAGACTGAACACATGTAATGATCACCACTGATCACATATGAAATGGAGCCCTAAGCAATACTGACATGTACATATCAAACTGCCTAATAATAATGTGTTTGGCACTCTGAGAGGCTTATGTTTTTCCTAACATATAAAACACTACCACCCACTCTCATACCATTTTCTTCTTTTATTTCTGCTTGATGAACATGTACATGTTCAACATTATTTCTCTGTTAACCTCTCTTCCACTTGTTATTGTCCCCTGTTCTGCTCTCTTAACGTATAGAAACATACAAGCCCCAGAAGTCTGCTTTTAATGTTTTCCTCACTGTTCCTAGTTTAGTTTATGGAATACAAGTCACTTTAACTCCTTTAGTCTTGTGTGCAATGTTTTTGTGTGGTTATCTTTGTTATCTTCATGACATTTTTTTCTTGAGTTAATTTTGGAAATATTCCTTCTCTTCCTGCTGTTCAATAACACCCCCCAATTATTCAAATGCCTGATGTCTTTGCTTTATGTTAACCTGAAGATTTTCCCTTTATCACAGCCCTTGTTCTGTGCTCTCCCCATTTTCTTATTTCGATATGGAAACAACTTTGCTTTCTATGGTTTATTTATACAATGCTTCCTTCTGTCTTCCTTCCCTATACTCTACAGTAGGAATGTTCTACATTGTTATTGGTGTTTCAACATATTTTCCAAGTAATTATGGAGTCTATTTTAAAAACTTGCATTAGTTCCCAACAGTTTCCTCCCTCATGTGGACTATTTTTAGGGCCTGGAAGGAACTTAAAATAAAACATCCATTTTTTCCTTCTCACTGTCTTTGTTTTATATGTTGCTACATGCAAAGAGATAAATGAACACTCTTTTATGCATTAAATTAACAGCTATTCCTTTTATTCAATCTACACACTTTTGTCAACAGCTTTTCCTTTCCACAGAATTTCTATTTTTGCATTAACACTCATCCACCTTGCTTAAATTCCTGTATCTTTTTTCTAATATGAACCACTTGCTGGTCTCTGAACTTTTCTTTTTCAATTACAAGTGTCTTGTTTCCTTCCTCCTTTAGTGGCACAATGTTTTTCATCTGTGTTCTTTTTATAATTTGTTTGTTTTTTTTTAAAGATATTTATTAAAGCTTCAGATAAAAAGAAACACATCAATAAAAACAAAAATTTAAAAGTAAAAAGAAAAATACCCAATACACAATACACAATACAAAAAGAAAAGAAAAAAGAAAAAAACAGTTAAAAACAATTCCATCTTTTCATCACTACTTTGAATTTACTTATTTTCTGGACCTCCTCATACCTCCCTCTTTTGTATTCCAATCCAGTTTGTTTGTCCAGCAATTCCTTTCCCTCCTTTTTAATCCCAATCCTTAATCTCAATATAATATAACATTAAACTTTTACCTATTAATAGCCAATTTTCCATTCTTTTAACCTTTTTAATCCTGATCCTTAATCTTGATCTGCATATAACTTTAAAGCCTGTACAGCTAGAAACCACTTAATTTCAGTCCATCATCACTCTAACTTTCTTTAATTTTGCAATATTTCTGTAGGTAATCTTTAAATTTCTTCCAATCTTCTTCCTCCGACTCTTCTCCCTGGTCACGGATTCTGCCAGTCATTTCCGCCAATTCCATAAAGTCCATCAGTTTCATCTGCCATTCCTCCAGTGTGGGTAGCTTTTGTGTCTTCCAATACTTTGCAATGAGTATTCTTGCTGCTGTTATTGCATACATAAAGAAAGTTCTATCCTTTTTTAACACCGTTTGGCCGACTATGCCCAGGAGAAAGGCCTCTGGTTTCTTCAAGAAGGTATATTTAAATACCTTTTTTAATTCATTATATATCATTTCCCAGAAAGCCTTAATCTTTGGGCACGTCCACCAAAGGTGAAAAAATGTACCTTCAATTTCCTTACATTTCCAACATTTATTATCAGGCAAATGATAAATTTTTGCAAGCTTGACTGGGGTTATGTACCACCTGTATATCATTTTCATAATATTCTCTCTTAAGGCATTACATGCCGTAAATTTTATACCTGTGGTCCATAACTGTTCCCAGTCAGCAAACATAATGTTATGTCCGACGTCTTGAGCCCATTTAATCATAGCAGATTTCACCGTTTCGTCCTGAGTATTCCATTTCAGCAGCAAGTTATACATTCTTGACAAATTCTTAGTTTTGGGTTCTAACAGTTCTGTTTCTAACTTTGATTTTTCCACCTGGAAGCCAATTTTCTTGTCCAATTTGAATGCCTCCATTATCTGGAAGTAATGAAGCCAGTCTCGCACTTTGTTTTTTAATTTTTCAAAACTCTGCAATTTCAGTCTATCTCCATCTTGTTCCAAAATTTGGTTATCTCTCACTTTTTCTGTATTTGTTTACCTTCCCTTTGACTACTGCCTATCAGGCTACTATCAGGCTACTGGCCTGTAGCTCAGTCTGCACCCTTTTCACCTATTCTAAAATGGATGCGAGAATTTTTTTTTTTAGAGATCTATATATTCCACACATGCTTTAGAACAACTAGAATAAAAACAATAAACCAGCATACAACCAACTAAACAACAAATAAGCAAAAAATGAGCAGCAGCAGCCAGACAGTAATACTAAAAAAAGCTTTGGACAAATTTATTTTTATTTAACAAAATTTATATACCACTTCATGGTAGCAAAACATCCAAATGGTTTACAAGAATCATAGAATTATAGAATTGTAGAGTTGGAAGGGACCACAAGGATCCTCTAGTCCAGGGGTCAGCAAACGTTTTCAGCAGGGGGCCGGTTCACTGTCCCTCAGACCTTGTGGGGGGCCGGACTATATTTTTTGGGGGGAAATGAATGAATTCCTATGCCCCACAAATAACCCAGAGATGCATTTTAAATAAAAGCACACATTCTACTCATTTAGAAGGCAACTGGGCCGGATCCGGACCCCTGGCCTTTGTTTGCCTACCCATGCTCTAGTCCAACCCCTGAAATGGAGGAATCTTTTGCTCAGTCTCACAACCTTGAGAGTCTCACGCTCTCTACCGACTGAGCTGTATTAAAAGTCCGATAAGAACAGTTACAAACAATAACATTGAAATATATTTAAAATCAAGAGTAAAAAAGAGTAAAAACATAAACATGTCTGAATAAGCATGCCTAAACAAAAATGTATTAAGCGTTTCAAATTATCCATTTAAAATGGGTGCCAGGATACCATAAATGCTGATCAGATGTTATTAAAAGCTTAGAGTAAGCTGCAATAAATGTGCAAGGTGAACATACCTAGAGAGAGAGTTCCATAATTTGGGCACCACCACTGAAATGGACCTCTCTCTGGTAGCCACCCTTCCAACCTCAAAAACCAAAGGAACCAAGATTTTAGTAGATGGTTATCTGGTAGAAAAGAATCTCCCAGATACCCTGATTCCAAGCCATTTAGGTTTTTAAAGGCCAAAACCAGCACCTTGAATTGAACTCAACAATGAACTAGCAGCTAGTGAAGTTCTCCATACCACTGAAGTATTCTTGTGGTGCTGACTCAATCTTGCTGCCATGCTCTAAACTAGCTGTAATTTCTGGATGTCCTTCCAGAGCAGCCCCATGTCTAACACATGACACCAAACCTGGATGTTTTTGGAGAATGGGTACAAGAAACATAGGCCACCTGAGTATCCCGCAGCAAAGCAGGGGCAAGCAGAACTCCGAGAATGGAGACCTGATTCTCATGAAGCTCAACCCCATCCAGAATAGGCTGAATACCACTTCCCTGGATTGATAAATCATTCATCACCACCACCGTCTTTATCTGGATTGAGCTTCTATTTATTAGCTCTCATCCAGCCCATTACTGATTCCAGATACCAGCTGATACCATGCCAACACCTGGGTCAGATATAAAAGAGAAACAGAGCTGGGTGTGTCATCAGCAGATTCCTGTAAACCTCTCTTGATATTTCTTTTGATGAGTAAGCAGGATATAAGTATTTTTAAATAAATAAAAGGTCTCCCATCTGGCACCAGGAATGAGCTCCAGGTTACCAGGCATTTGCGAATGGGTAGAACTGTTTCTTATTTTCTGTTTTGAAGTCAGGCCATCCATCTGTCACAAATTTCTAAGATGGGCATATGGAGACAGGAGGGCTGGAAAAATGTGTGTGAGCTTGTAATGTACCGTATTTATTGCTCTATAAGACTCACTTTTTCCCTCCTAAAAGGTAAGGGGAAATGTGTGTGCGTCTTATGGAGTGAATGCAGGCTGCGTAGCTATCCCAGAAGCCAGAACAGCAAGAGGGATTGCTGCTTTCACTGCGTAGCGATCCCTCTTGCTGTTCTGGCTTCTGAGATTCAGATTTTTTTTTTCTTGTTTTCCTCCTCCAAAAACTAGGTGCGTCTTGTGGTCTGGTGCGTCTTATAGAGCGAAAAATACGGTATGTTCCTTTATTTGCATGGCAAATGAGAAACTGGGAGAAGTACACACTACAGTATCGTCCTAGGTAAATTCTTTTGCTGTGCAATCTGGACAGGTTGTGCTTGCCCATCCACTGCCCCTGTTCTCAGCACAGACAGTACAGGCGAGAGACGGAGTAGACTTAAGTTTCCAGCTCATGTGGAAAATGGAGGTCAGTTCTCCTCCGACTATACGAACCAGTCCACTTCAGCACTGTCATGCAAACACATCACAACAGCTAAATAGGGAAGTACAACACTCACCAACAAATTCAGGCGTCCCAAAAATGTTCTTAAACTCATTACTAAAGTCTATTTTATGCGCTAAGCCGAAGTCAATGATCTTGATACGAGGCTTTGGTACATTTCTATCCAGCAGCATTATGTTCTCAGGCTTTGAAGAAAAAAAGATTGGTTGCGTGTGAGCAGTTGCAAAACACAGGAACAATTTGGAAAAATAATCTCTTCCTGACAAGTACTCAAACTCATATGCTCTAAGCACCACACTCAACGGAAATGGCCCTGTGGCTGTGAAAACACATTGGTTCCTCACACTGAATCCTGACTGACACAGGTTCCCAGATGATGATTTATTATATCCAAACATCATAATATAATGGTGGGTCGTGCACAGAACAGCTGCAAGATTCACATTTGTTCTTTACAAAATCAGGAGTATTCCTAAGTGCTTAAAATAATTGAGGCAGAGACTCATAAAACACACATTTGCACATGCTAATTTGTATATACAAACGCAAGTTTGGAAATAAACTTCACAGCAGCAAGCTAATTTATTTCTCATCCAAATGACCCTAAGTAAAATAAATTCTTCAATTAATTTGAGCCCATCCCCCCATCTACCCCAAATCAGCGAGTCTTTAATTAAGTTCTCCTCAATTCATTTTCCACATCCAGTTCAAAACCAGAGTCTTCCTTCAATTAATAATTACTCACATTCACCAATCATTAAGTCTGGTTTGGAACTGAGACTGCACAGGTTCTTTCAGGCGGGCAAAGTGAGTGGACTAGTAGGTAGAGGCACAAAATATTTAGGAAATAGTGCAGAAGCCCCGGGGCATGCTCCGCCACCACCATGATACTCTTATCAATAGCTACCTTCTACATAAATAATGGGGATTTTTATTATGCTATCCAAGTTCTAAGTGTTGCTTTAGGCACTATTCCCAAACTTAAAATCTATCCAACATACCTTGAGATCAAAGTGTGCAATTTGCAGAGAGTGCAGATAGTTAACACCATTGAGGATTTGCTTGAGAAATTCTGTGGCCTCCTCTTCAGACAGAGATTCCTTTTCAGCTAAAAAATCAAAGAGCTCCCCTCCTGCAACACTGTGAGAATAGGAGCAGCAGTTATTGACTTTAACCTATTGATTTTTTTTCCAGCTTAAGGACTTTGTACAGCCATATTAAGAAAGGCAATCCATTCTTAAAAGCTTCCTGCACAGGATCTGAACACGTTTGTTTTTGTTTTTTTAATTACAATTCAAATGTTTATTTCAGTCTGCCATGTAACAATGCAAGCTTGAAAATTCTAGGCACCTAGAAAATTGACTGCCTCTGAAGAATTGTTCTGGTATACTGAACTGTTTTTCTAGCTTTATTATCATAGGTTGTACTTTAATTTATGAAAATCAATGAGGTTCATACATTGTTTTGGATGACAGAAAGTGGGAGTATTAGCAAGTTTCCGGTGGCAGGAGAGAAATAGCAATATTATATGCAACTATTGATTTTAAAGCAGAACACAGAAAAGTCACACATTGTTTCCCCATAACTCTATAAACGTTGACTCCTGCCATCTCCCAACCATTTCCATACTTTGGTTATAATTTTCAGTGCTGCAGCAAACTTTATTTTAAATATTTCTGCGTACCCTTTGCCTGCATAAAGACTACATTTTAAAAGTTCTCAAATATTTTGATTGTAAAATCTGTCAAGAAACTCTTACAAATGAATGTGTACACGCATAGTCCTTTTTCCATCCATCACTTTCTGTGATGATGAATAGCAGCTGACAATAACAGTTTACTGGCTCACCATCACATCCTTTCGTTCTATACAAAATTGAATCGCAACACTCTCTGAAAACAACTGAGCAATGTTCTTGGTTTTTTTGTTCCAAATGTTACTTCTTTGTGTCAGCATCTACTTTATTAGCAACAAATATTAAGTGACAAAGGCGGATTTTAAAATGAAACATTGATGAAAAGATCCTTGCCTATTACCACTGTCTTTATCGTATTTATTACTTATTTATATATCTCCTTCCCATTCACCAAGCGCTCTCAAAGCAGCAACTAACCCATAAAAAGAAGAAACTTGGCACTGAAACTCAACAGTGGTAATTAAAAAACAAAAACAAAAAAAACCAACCCAAAGGGAGAAAGATGCAGATGCCTTAAGCAATCTTTAGAAGACAAGGGAGAGGAAGCCAACTGGATGGTTTTCCTTGTGGAGATCCACAACACAGAGATGGAAAAGACCTTACCTATAACCGTATATAAATTGGAACCGTATATAAATTTGAATTATGGTGCGGGAGGAGACTCTTGAGAGTCCCATGGACTGCAAGAAGATCAAACCTCTCCATTCGGAAGGAAATCAGCCCTGAGTGCTCACTGGAAGGACAGATCCTGAAGCTGAGGCTCCAATACTTTGGCCACCTCATGAGAAGACTCCCTGGAAAAGACCCTGATTTTGGGAAATATGGAGGGCACAAGGAGAAGGGGACGACAGAGGACGAGATGGTTGGACAGTGTTCTCGAAGCTACCAGCATGAGTTTGACCAAACTGCGGGAGGCAGCGGAAGACAGGAGTGCCTGGCGTGCTCTGGTCCATGGGGTCACGAAGAGTTAGACACGACTAAACGACTAAACAACAACAACAACAACAAATTGGAAAGGTCTGAATGGAAATCAGTCTTCCCTCAAGTAACCTGGTTTTAGGCTGTCTGTGGCTTTAAAAATTAACACCATTATTTTTTATTGTGCCTGCAAACTACCTTGTAGGCAGTCAAGCTTCAAGAGGCACAATATGTGCTCTGTGATCGGACCCAGATAACAGTGTCGCTGATCATTCCGAACAAGCTGAACTATTCCAGCCTTCCAAAAGTAGCCTTATACAGAACATGGTATGCAAGCCAATCTGGAAGCTACCAAAGTATGTATGAAACAGCCAAGCCCATATTTCTATTTACTTTAAAGCTCTAAACCAATTGCAGTACTGTCAGGGGTAATCATGGGTACCTTCATCTCACCACTGGGGTGTTGTGCAGGCATTAGAACAGCCCATAGACAAAGTGCCATTAAGTCCACCAGGGGTTGGTGAGATGTATCTGGAAAGTCCCATAACAGGGTGTGAAGGCAACAGCCTCCTCTGTCCCACACTCCATCTTCCCTGCAAGAAACCACTAGCATACCTGGCACACAAATCTCAACAATGGCCTTATCTTTCACTATCTGACGCAGTGAATCCCATAATGATTTCTTGTTCATATGAAGACATACAACCACACATGCAATCACTGTCCTATATGGCTGGCTGAGGTGTTTTTTTCACTCTTTTTATGTTAAAAATGTTTTGCGATCATGGCTGACATATGTTTTATCCTTCTACGCTGGGTTTGGATTCAGTGCTAAATTTACAGTGGACCCTCGAGTTATGTACCTCTCTGGATACGTAATCTCCGGGTTGCGAAAGCTGCAAACCCAGAAGTATTTTTACGGGTTTTGCTGCTCACGCATGTGCAGAAGCACTCTGCGTGCCACGCGCATGCGCAGAAGCAGCGCCTCTGGTTATGGATTTTTCGGGGTGCATATGGACCCCCGAAACGAATTAAATCCGTATCCAGAGGGTCCACTGTATTGTATTTTTGTTGTGTTTATAACCTTGCTTACAATATTTGATGTATTGTACATTGGCAAGAGAAATTATTTTATGAGGCGGCTAATATATATGAATAAATGCAATGTGCCCTTTATGTGCAATCAATTCTACTTTATAGCACAGCTGTGATCATACATTTGCATGTATGTAGGGCAATATGAAAATTTCATGTGAAAGGCAGGCATGCATATGGGTGTCCCAAGGATGTACAGAATGTTGCCTTCCCTAGCAATCTGAACTAGTCCTGAGTGACCATCAGTCGCAGAGCATTATTAATTCTTATTGCTTATGCAGCTGCATCATTTTTAAGCAGCTAGAGAGACATGCTCATACCCAGAAGAGCTTAGTCTAAAACTGGATAGAAGACACAAGGGGAGTAAAGGGTTGCAGACAAAGATTACAAATACTCCACATGTCAATCCATATCCCAATGCTCAATTCAGTTCTCTGCCTTCCACTCAACTTTGAATAGCTCAAGAATCCAAATATCCCACTCGTTAGGGCCATTCACTGAATATCCTTTCACAAATCTGTGGCCTCCAGGTGCTGATGGACTACAACTTTCACCATTCCTGAGCACTGGTCATACTGGCTGGGGCTGATGGGAGTTGCAGTCCAATAACACCTGGAGAACCACAGGTCCCCCATCCATAGCTGTCAACTTACAGATTTGAAAATAAGGGACCAGCAGCCTCAAAAATAAGGGATCAGCAGCCAAAATAAGGGATTTTCCAGGCACAGGTATGTTCAACTTCTGAGCCCCTCCGAGCCAAAGGCAGAAAGCCCAGCCAGCAGCCAAACAAAGCCTCAAGCGGTGGTTCCCACAGCGCAGCAACCCGGCAAAGGGGATGCAGCAAGGAAAACCACCGTCACCTCTCCGCTGGGAAGCGCTGAGCAAAGGCGAGTCCCCAGGCAACGCAGCCGATTTGATCGGCACAAGGCATGCAAGCTCCACCCCCCAGTCATTCTTAGACTCCTTATTGGGTGAGCAATGCAGCCAAGCAACACAGTTGGAGCCTCCCTCCTCCCTGGCCGGTAGGCAGGGAGGGAGAGGAGCTGCTTCCTTTGAAACCCGGGAAATTTAAGGGACATCATCAATAAGGGACAGCAGCGGGACACAGCGCTGGGATAAGGGACTTTCCCGCCAAATAAGGGACGGTTGATAGCTATGTCCCCATCCCTAATTTTATAGAATATAATTTCATTTTACAGTTTGCTAGTATGACAATAGCCCACGCTACTTTCATTTTCTACTGCAGAAGTTTGCTTTGTCCAAGATACATTACCTTTGAATCTCTACATCATATGCCTAACATGAATAGCTGCACTGTATAAAGGCTGCTATTCATGTTAGGTGTATAATGTATACCCTGTACCCGTGGCTCCTAGAAGCAGTGAGCATGCAACAGTGGCCACACACAAGGAAATGGCTTTGAGTGGTCAGCTAAACCAGGAGAGGGTAACCTATGAGACTTCCCCTGCATGCGAAGAAAGGCTCTGGTGCATTGAGCGGTCTAGACCAGCAGCGGGTCCAACAGTCAAGAAGGTGGTTACTGCACATGTTGTAGAGGGAACTGAGGGGCAGATGGGGCTAGTCAACCTGGGAAGGTCGCCCATCTAGGAAAAGGAAAGCTCTGATCCTAAACCACTGCTGCCTTGCAGCTCTACTCATTCATGAGAAGGGCTTTGGCAGCAAATCTGGAGGAAAAAATCTGTACCTGCTAAGGAGTAAACTCCACACAAATCCAGAGTGGAATCCCAAAGACAGTTGGATGGTGTCTCATACGCCTCATTTCAGCAACTCGTTTCTGCAGCCAAGCTAGTACCAAATGTACTGTTCTGCTTCCCTTTCGACCACATCAGTGAAGCTAAGTGTGGGGTCTTGTTGTCTGCGCCACCCAGGACCTTCATACACACTGCCCAGGCTTGCACCCCAGAGAGGTCACTTCAGTGCTGCTAAAGCAGCAAAAACAACATGGGAGGCAGGGATTGTTACCTGTTTCCACACCCACAGCAGGCGCTGTGATTCTCCAGCAGTTTGCCTTCACCCCCAGAGACACACTTCATAAGTCTCTTGAGACAGATAGATGCGAACAATAAAGACTGTATATACCGGTACTACAGAAAAACAACTTAATAGGAACAATTAAAGGAGACAGTAATGGGCATAACCTATGGTTGGATTAGAGGGGATTGGAGTAGTATTGAAGAAATGAAGAGAGGCGGAAGAAAAAAGTAGCAGTAGCCATGGGCAGGAAACAACCTTTGCTTCTCAATGTGAAATGCAGGAAAGGTGAAACCATTGTAAATGGGCAGGCATTTCATCAAATAGAAGCATAGAAAAAAAAGCCCACATCTAAGAGGTTTACCTAAGCAGGGTAACTGCTAACACACCCCACATTTCAGTGCACTGCTGCTTTGTGATTCATTATAATGCCACAGCATGCACCAAGTTAAGCTTGAGCAGTTTATTCACCTTAATGGAACTAAAAAGCAAATTATAAAATTAAAATGTGAATAATCTCCATTTCAACCTGATGAAGCCAGTGGAATGTTTAAAATGCTGTTTTCAGAAGTTCACTTCTTGAACATCTGCTATAAATATTTCTGAAAAGAAATGCAGCGCAGCAAAGTGGTCTAATTAGTTGATGATTAACTTGTCCTTTGAAGAAATAACTTGTCCCCTACATTAGCCGCCATATTTTTTCCACACAGGAGATTTTATTTGCAGCATATTTATGACAACAGCTGAGGGCAAGTCTAATTGATTATTTTCCTTCTGGTTCTCTAATAGGGATTACTGACTAAATTCTGCATAGCTCCTTAAAGAACTGCATGCTCTTGAACTCTGATTAGCAGAACATTATAGTGAGTGCCACCCACAGACTCTAAATACTTCTAATGAACATAGCATATAATTACATTAAATTCAGATCATGTATGAACCCTGCAGCTTTCTCATTTAGCAGCAGAAAAGTAACCATTCCAATGCAATTTCTCTGATTCGTACCTAAAAGTTTATACTGACTGCTTCCCCAAGCGTAAAATAACACAAAGATCACACTAAGCAAACAGCAGACACTATTAGTCACTGGCATGTGCTGTATCCTCGTAAGCATAAACAACTATAGAACCAACGTTTCAGCAACCTAACATTTCATTTTTGTTCTAGTTTCATCCTTAACATAAAACATTTTCCAGAAACAAGCTCTTTGAGAATTGCTTTTTTCTGACATGTTGGTTAATCTCTTGTATGGAAGAAGCACCAACAACCAAGACCAGCACTCTGATTACTGTATTGGAGGTAGAAGCAACAAGAAGCCATTGCAGAGTTGGTTTTTCTGAGACCTATATACCCAGAGCAAAACAGCTGCAAACCCAATAAAACCCCTCAGTATTTAACACACAAGAAAGCTGTATCTACAGTACTCCCTCTCTGGATCACAAGAGGCAATTATATTTTTATGCATGCATAAGGAGTTTACAAATGGAATCAACAGAAAACATACATGTGGAGTTGGCTATAGGTTCTAGTGCAAGGTTTAACTGAGAATCTTCAAGAAGATCAAGTACTGTGTTTAACAGTAACAAAAAGATGCCTGCAGTCAACACTTCCATCCTCTGGGAGGAAAAATATATCACACAGCACTAGAAAATAATTATTTTTCAAAAGAAGCAAACAACTCTTTCGCAAGCTTTGGGATTAAATGCTACATCCCATAAGATATAATTATAGATTTTAAACAGTAACCTTGAAACAGATTAGCTTCAAAAACCAGCATCATCATTCCTTAATGAGCTCGTAGCATTGTACTTACATGCCTTTATTAATGAACTGATTAAATAATTAAGGCACCAGCTAAATAGTTATTGTCCCATGGAGCATTTTAAGCCCAGTGCGTTTAACAAAATTAAAATGGCCTGCATTGGAAATGGAGAGTAAATGGGAACAAAACAGAGATTAGCCCGATTGGTTTTGCTATTGGGGAACCTATCCTTTTTCACTGATCATTCATGGTGAAAAATGAGGCCTGAACGTTTAGTTAATAGCTTTTCTTCTTGCTTGATAAGATAGAAAAGAAAAGAGTGATAAAGTCGGCATAGGTGCCGACTTTAGTCCAAGATTGAGGGGGTTCAGCGGGTGTCACGTGTTTGTGACATCGTGTACCCAATGTTGCTTCGTCAGGAGGGGGTCAAGCATGGACCCCAGTGCAGAACGGCTTCAATGGCCAGCAGCTCCTCCTCTCTGGCTCTCAGGAGGAGCCAGTCACAGAAGCCACACCGCACTCTGCCTCCTCTGCCCCCTCAACACTGAGTGCACTCTCATGTTAAATGTGTATCCTTTTCAGATTCATCCTATGTATACTGAACACTAGATGAAATCCCCGACTCCCCCCATGGGGCTCAGCAGTGTTAACTAGTTGACTAGAAGTGTTAACTAACTAACTAACTAAGTCAGCTAAGAGCGTTAACTAACAAGAAGGAATAAATTATAGGGAAATATTCAGCAATAGCAGACCAGATGTCTGGCAGCTAACCTTTATTGAAAATTGTATTTTTAAATGAGTAAGTTTGAAAAATTGATGGTTCAAGTTTCCAGCCCGACTCCCCAAACTAAATGAGTTCCTTTTTCATGCATTTGAGATATTTACTTAACAGTGCTTCGTTTCTGTCAGGAGCCAGTGCCAGGAGTAAATCAGCAATAAAAAAACACCACTGGTGTCAGTGGATGCTTTATTCAAAGAAACCAAATCAGTGTAGGCCTAGTGATCATACTTGCGAGGACTAAAGGTCCCTGCTTTCCCACCGCTATCTTAGGCTCCTCCCTCTGTGCCTTCCCCAGCAGCCTGAGGCTCCTTCGCTTTGTCTCCCTTTGCTCTGCCCTCTTCATTTCTCTGTGTGTCCTGGGAGACCAGAGAGGTGGGGAGATGGCCGCAGCAGGAAGCAGAGACCCCTTGATTCTTCAGCAGCCTGCTTCATCTCTGTCTCCTCTCCTCTCCTGCCACTGAGTCTGGAAGGCTCTCTGCCCTAGCCTCCTCCTGCTCACTAAACTCTGTTGCCTCTTCAGCTTCTGGTGCCTCCTTCTCCCAGTCTGCTCCCTCTGACCATGCATTGGTGGAGCAATAGAGTACTTCTATTGCTCCACCAACAAGCAAAATGCAAGAAACTGGCAACCGGGGGGAAGAGAAACCTAATTGCCACATGTAGGTAAAAATGACAGGGATTTCCACTTCACCACTCAGTTTGATTCTCTTGTTTGTTTTCTCACTGTTTAACTCTCAAATCATTGATCTGCTATAAAACAAAATAAATCACCTAGAGGTTCTAACTCACCTCTGTGCACACACACAACACAATTCTTTTTCACAATTCTACCACCCAGAACTACCACCCTTCTCTCAAAAAGCTGCAGATATTTTATTAAGATCCGTACCACAGTTTTTTCTAGCACAAACTGACATAAGGTGCATTTCCAAAAACATACATTTCTGATTTTCAGAAACTGCCCCACCCCCTAAAAAGCAATTTCAAAACTACTTACAGTTCAAGAATAAGAATTACATCCATTTTACTTTCATAAACATCATGCAGAGTAATCACATTGGGATGCTGGATTTCCTTCAATATGTTTACTTCTCGTTCAATGTCTTCTCGGGTCACTCCTCGGCGGCTGGATTTTGTTCTTCGTTTCTTGATGAATTTTGCAGCATACTGAGCTCCAGTGCTCTTCTCTCGACATTTCCTTACTACTGCAAACTGTCCACTAAGAAACACAAGACAGTAGGAAAGGTATTTATTAAGTATATACAAAAATATTTTCTATTGCTACACACAATAAGGTAAAGGTAAAGGGACCCCTGACCATTGGGTCCAGTCATGTCTGACTCTGGGGTTGCAGCGCTCATCTCGCTTTATTGGCTGAGGGAGCCATTAAAGCAGCTTCTGGTGAACCAGAGCAGCACACGGAAACGCAGTTTACCTTCCCGCCGGAGCGGTACCTATTTATCTACTTGCACTTTGACATGCTTTCGAACTGCTAGGTTGGCAGGAGCAGGGACCGAGCAACGGGAGCTCACCCCGTCGCGGGGATTCGAACCGCCGACCTTCTGATCGGCAAGTCTTAGGCTCTGTGGTTTAACCCACAGCACCACCCACGTCCCTGCTACACACAATAGAAATGACAAAAATTCGGAATTCATTGGCATATGCAAAATTGGGTTAATATTGGAAAACTGATAAAAAATTATTTGGCAAAAAAGAAAGAAAGAAAAGACAAAAATTAAATATGAAAGGAACACAGAAGTGTGCTCATACCTGGTGACACCACTGGTCCATTTAGCTCACTTGGTGCTAGCTATGGATTCAACCAATGAGCTGTGATCTTTCCCCAATACAACCACTCATTTAAAAAGAAATAAATCCCTAACTGCAATGCGGAAAATGTTTGGTGGGTGGGGAATCACCAGAAAAACAATTTAGCACTAATTAAAATACGCTTTAAAATGCTGCACATAACAAAGGTTAGAGTGAATGTGTACCAAACTGATACCACCTTTTTGATACGTCACTACCAGAGTCAAAACCCGGACATTTCAACAGGAAAGAGCAACACTTTAAGGTGGAGTCCAATGTAGCACCAAGTCTCTCGTTCCATTAGCATAATTATTTATCCATGTACAAGGGAACACCCTCTCACTCTCCTCCTCTTGTGTGCTCCCTAAATTTGCTTTAAGGATTCCACCAACCTTCTGGAGCAGATTTGGGGAAAGTGTGGAGTGTGCATGAGAGAAAGGGGGGAGGGAGTCCCTTTGTGCAAGTGGAAATCCTTGCACTGAATACCACCCTTAAGGGCATCTATACCTGTGGATAGTGCACCCAATCTTCTGGGGAAAATACAGGATGCTGACCACTGGATGCCCCAATGCCCCATAACAAGCACAGTAAGCCTGAAACTTGCTCTCACTTTACTTAGGCGATTGACACCTGCAACCTTACATGAGTGAGGTGGGGGAAATAAATAAATGGAGAACTGGGGGAACCCACTGCCCTCCGTGCCCCATTTATTTACAGTCATGGGAAAAAGAAAGTATACCTTCTTTGAATTCTGTGGCTTTACATATAAGGACATAATTACTTGTTCCTTAGCAGGTCTTAAAATTAGGTAAATACAACTTCAGATGAACAACAACAAATAATAATAATAATAATAATAATAATAATTTAGTTGTATCCCTCCCTCCCTGGCCTAAGCCGGGCTCAGAGCGGCTAACAACAAGTAAAAATAGCACAATGTACAGTGGTACCTCAGGTTAAGTATTTAATTCGTTCTGGAGGTCTGTTCTTAACCTGAAACTGTTCTTAACCTGAAGCACCACTTTAGTTAATGGGGCCTCCTGCTGCCGCTGCACGATTTCTGTTCTCATCCTGAAGCAAAGTTCTTAACCTGAGGTACTATTTCTGGGTTAGCAGAGTCTGTAACCTGAAGCGTATGTAACCTGAAGCATATGTAACCTGAGATACCACCGTACATAAAATCACAGAGTAAATTAATTCTAAAATCAATTCAGAATCAAATTAATGGCAATCACAGGGTTAGAGTTCTTTGAGAATTACAGAAGGAGAGAGGGGGTCAGACTGTGCCTTGGCCAAAGGCCTGGCGGAACAGCTCCATCTTGCAGGCCCTGCAGAAAGATGTCAAGTCCCGCAGGGCCCTAGTCTCTTGTGACAGAGCATTCCACCAGATCGGGGCCACGGCCAAAAAAGCCCTGGCTCTGGTCAAGGCCAGCCTAACCTCCCTGTGGCCCGGGATCTCCAAGATGTTTTTATTTGAGGACCGTAAGGTCCTCCGTGGGACATACTAGGAGAGGTGGTCCCGTAGGTACGAGGCAGACCCCTAGAACCAAACTCTTGCAAATGCAGTGTAAATGAATGAAGCATGGTAATTCCACATTAAATGCCCAGTGTGGAAGCATCCCATGATAACCAAAACTCCAGTGTAAAGAAGACTGTTATTTCATTTGAAGGGTGTATTTCATTTGAATTTAGTGTAACCAGTACAGCGATTCAGTTACATGTTGATACATATTTCAAAGGTGGCTAAGATCTTCCTTTGTTCATAAGCAACAGCAACCCAGGGGGCAAACATTGTGCAGATGATCTCAGTGACTGAGCTGCAAAATAAGGTTCAGGTGGTCCCTAAGGACCTAAGTTGTTCCGGGTTTTGTGAGTTAATACAAAAACCTTGAACCTGACTTAGCAGGAGATAATTCTAAACATTATGGAAAATTTGACATTGTTTACTGCATATGCCTGTTTCCCATTTCCATTTGTTTTGTAATGAAGGAATATCAACAATATACATTACTGATTCATACAATTAAGGACTTGTGGGATTTTTATTACTACAGAGGCAGGTATAAACTGAAATAAGAGAGCTTTCCATGGGTGTTTGTGAGCTGAAGTGTGGGAAGAAATCCCGAAAGCCATTTTGCTAAAAATTAACTACAACATTAGTGCGCTCTCATTTCATTACTATGCTTCGTCACAGCTGCCCGTGCTGCAAATACAGGAAACACTCTGCAGGTTTCAAAAGTATAGTGCCAAGTGTCATAGGTTTTATTAGAATTGAAGAGATAATTTTAATAATAATAATAATAATAATAATAATAATGCCTAGCACTCTACTTAAATAATATTAACTAGCGTATATCATTTCCCTCAAGGGAGAATATCAGTTGAAGACAGTGAGAATCACAATGAAAGCACTTTGCAAGAATAAGTGCTGTCTTTTAATAACAGTGATTTGTTTGTGATCCTGCAATTCTCTTTGAATTGGTGGATAATTGCTACTCTAAATCTCCTCTGTTCAAGGTGCTTGGCATCAGTCTATGCAAGTGTTGTAGGCGTAATGATTTTTGCAACCATCTTTCTGACCAGTTAGCATATCATCTGACAGATAAAATTGTGTTTTAGCGTTTAATCCAGGAAATCATAAGCTGCTGCTTAAAACAAAGCTTGGGGAGGAAAGATAAGGTGAAGAGGGAATTCACAAATTTACGTAAATGGGCTCTGCGTCCCAGCCCTCTTGTTGCTCTCCAGCACGGATAGGGTGCACACATAAAGGATTACTAATTAGCACAACATGGGCAACAATAACTCCCATGGCAGCCCAACTTCCTTCTCTTTATAAAAAAAGACAAAAAGAATCAGACATTGGAATGTTTATAAAGCTATTACTACTAGATGAAATTATAGTAAGTTGTATTTACCATTTCCACCCCTGCACTGTAATTAATTTAGAAATTCCGTAAGACTTTACAATACCAGTTTATTAGAAGAAATTTCACTGGGGGAAAAAATTAAGCCTATATGTCTTAAAGGAAGCTGAAGTCCCATCAGTTAAATGGATTTGATTGCATTTAGTTCTTTGTTTCATGGTCCGGACGATACTCAGAAGTTGCTTGCCCACTGAGGTGGATCCACAACACAACCTTTCTTGCAGCAAAATTAGTGTCCTTACTGAAAGGGTTGAGATGGACAGGAGGTCTGCATGGTGTAGGCAACAGGGACGCCGGACTGATTCTGCTGGTGTGTGAACACAGTGCTGACCTTCCTGTCTCCTCACCCTTCCCAGTAAGGGGCAGTGACTCTACTGACAGCAGGCTGGGTGAGGTGCAATATGGGGCATATTTTTTAAACTTAATTTTTGGCTTTATGTCTCTGGAAAATTATTATGTCTCATTTCTTAGAAGGAGGGGAACGATGAAGACAGGCAAATGCACACAGATCAGTCTTGACCAAATAGAGATTAGTCTGTTAAGCGACAATGGAAAAGCTATTGTTCTGTGAATAGAACTTTAGCAATAAAGATGGTAAGGGACCTCTTTCAAACCCTTCAATTTAAAGCCACAGCTTTTTAAAAAACAGATAATACTGTCTTTTCTTTTCTTTTTGTCAACTGTGTGAAAGGCAAAAATTAACAGCAGCAGCTGGAACTTAGGGAAGTTGAAAAAGGAAAATGCTAAGAAGTCAATTCACGATATATTCATAGAATGTATCACTGCCCCCCCAGGGAGATATATACAAGATTTTCCCTTATTAAAAACACTCTCTAGTATAGTAATATTTACAAAATGAACAAATATTTTTAAACCAGTTTACACTGCCTCCCACATCTGTCTGAAGGGAGTACAAAAAAGCCCAACACAATGATAAGATAATACAAAATAAATGCAGCTGAAATTGAAAATGAACAAATTAAGTGACATGCTGGATTAAAAAAACCAGCAGACGCCTCTGTACACAAATATGCTCTGACGGAGGTGCTGAAAAAGTATAAATGATTTTGGCTTAGTTTGGAGGGAATGTTGAAGATGATTCAACATATGGGATAGCACCATAGTAAAGGCTCTCCCCCTAGTTGTACCACTGCTTCATCCTCTTTATGAACCAGTGCAGATGCACAACCTCCAATTTCCTAAACATGCTTTATGGGGTGGGCTTGGCTTGTGAGCTACCTTCCCTTCTGTCTAACTTCTCTGTTCTAGCATCAACTCATCTCTCCTTTCCAAACATTAAACATGATGTAGTGTTACATCTAAATTGGCACCAACAGCATTAGCGCTAACCAGAATTTGAAAAACAAAATCAAAAAACAGCTTAAATCTTCATTTAAAGCTCTGGTTAGTACTAAGGTGGTGTACAGACTGTCTTCCCCAACCTCACACCCTCCAGATGTTTTGGACAACAACCCTCATCAGCTAGTACGGCCATTGGCCAAGGATGATGGAAGTTGTAGCCCAAAACATCTGGAAGGCACCAGGTTGAGGAAGTCTGATGTAGCCTTCAGTCTGCATTGGTGTGAAGCCTGGCTAACACTTACAAGAGAAGGAGGATTAATATGGAAGAAGGGAGGGTATGCACAAATGCCCTCACTCATTCCCTTAACCATGGGATCAGCATGGTTAAGCGATTGTCAATATTACATCTGTATGGAGCTTTCAGGCGATGTATCCATAAGCTCAGTTATGTTTGAACCTATTTCAACACACATATCAGGACATCAACCACAGTCTGAAGCTGGTTTGAAAACCAGTTTCTGCGGCTGACATATGAATTCACAAATCGAAGTTAGAGCCACGCTTCTCAATCTCAATGGGCTACTATAGAGACACGAAGTGAAGAACTCAAGAAGTTATGTGCCGCACATGGAACAAAGTTGGGAAAGGCTGTTCTAGATACTGCAGGAATGAGTGTGCACAAAATAATCAAATACAAGAATCCTTGCATAATATTCATGTTGAGCAGGATGTAAGGAAGGTGTAGTAAAGGTATTAAGGGATGTGTCATAAGTCTCTAGATTAATTTGCTGGAATTTTAATGCTGCCTGATGCCCAAGGCTATGAATTATAACACACTAAAAAGCCAATATGAAAACATTAAAAGCATTGTCCTAAAAAAACAAAAACACCACTTACGAACTAATGTTATGTTAGTTGTATCCACCTTGTGAAAGTGATAGAAAGCAGAGTTTAAGTGCAAGTAATAATGAACAAACAAACAAGCGCTTCAAATTGCACATGTAAAACACTAACTGGTGCTATTTAATCTGTTTATATTGCAGTAATTCTTAGTGATAATCTGGCCAATACATTTTATATTAAATATCCGACAGGTACATATTGTGAATGACAGATTGTGGAACATTCCCTAATCAGAACAAACTGGTTGCCTAGTTTGATAACCTAGAACACACTGTAAACATGTAACATCTGATAATAACAGTAATTTTACGACCTGCTTTTTTCCAGTGGGGGGAGGAGGGTTTACTCCTACAAGCTTTACTGCAACTTGTTGCCCATGAGAAAAAGAAAGAAAGAAAGAAAGAAAGAGTTTGTGTGAGTGAGAATGAATCTAGTAAGGAATCTGTACACCTTTTCACCACCACTGGGCCTGTGAGGGACTTTGCAACTATGATTAAGCATTTTGCTGACTAAAATCACTCACATTCAGTCAGTGAATGTTAAACTGGGCTTGTTAAACTGTAGGAACTTTGTTTTGTTTGACAGCTTTTGCTTTTTGTATTGATGCTTTTATTGAAAGTCACCTTAATCTTAAGCCAAGGAGGAGTGCTAACACAAACATTGCCGTAGCTAGATAAATAAATGGAGCACACTCGTTTGTTTACTTTTTCTCACACACCTTCCTGAAGAGACACTAGTCCTGGTAGACAGTGTATGAAAAAGAGCAACTGATGCAAGTCCTACTGTTTGTAACTTTTAACACACAAACGCACACACAGGGAGATTCAAGGCAGATCAAATTTCCAAAGTTGATCAAAGAAACATTCAACTCAGCACCATGAATCCATGACCACAAGTAAACTCGGTTCTGATGTCAGAAACAGAAATTAGAAAGCCAGCATTTTACGGTCAGTGTATGGAATTAGTTCCTTGAATATAGTAGGCTGGGATCTACCAGTGAGCCTTGTGCCAGAGCCTGGCAGGGCCTGGCATAGCCTCGCCTGCTTTCTGTCCTCAAGCCTTTTCGTTGGACCAATGCTAGCACCAGGCAACTCCTTGGCATGCAGAATGAAGACGGCCAGGAAACAGAGGGGTTCGTGGGGGAGAGGGGAAGAGGATGGAAGAAATATGTTCCTCCTCTAAGGGCTGGAGAAGGTATTGAAGATAATACAGTATAAATAAACTGGGAATATAAAGGAAGGGTATTGAAGGAAAGATATCATCGGAGGAAGAAGTGAATGTAAAATGAACAGGGAAGAGCAATGAAAGAAATTTGCCATTTGGGGAAAAAAGGTATAAGTTGAATGTGAGAAGGAAATTACAAGAGCTTGGTAAAAATACTTTGAAAGGGATGTGGGGTTGGGAAGGAAAATACCAACAAAAATGCCTTCTCCATTTATGAGTCTGTGGATTCTACCTAAAATGACTAGAGGCAAAATTCTCATCTCAGCCTTCCTGACTTGAGGAAAAGGACAGGTACTTATTTCTCAATAAATATGCATAAATTGCACAGATAATTTAACTATGCCCAGCCACACGACCATCTATCTGTGGCTTTGGCAATAAGTCTAATACATTACAAACTGCAGTGAAACTACTGTTGTCCTGTGAATGGCCACAATTGGTGTAATTTTCACCGTCTGTATCTTCTGTATTTCATTTCCTCCTTGACCTCCCTGTTCACAATTCCTACTGATCCACAACTGTGTCTGTATATACGCCTGTAGCTCTGGTTAACACTTCATACATCTGATGCAGTGGCCAGTGTTAGAAACTGAGATATGAAAGCAAGGAGCTAAATGGCACCTTAAACCGAGGTTATGGGCGCAACAACGGAATGTCTAAGCACCCTTTTTTTTATATAACAATACAAAGCTGAAAATGAATGAACTGCAGCTAAAATAAAATGTTAATTTTTCACATGGTCTAGTCCTTCCCTTGCCCTCCCCCCTAATATTCTTAAGAGGGTCTCTTCTCCAGTCTTCAGAGTAGCTGGAAATGGGGAGGCAGGAAAAGGTCATCCTTTCCTTCCACTCTGCAGTTTTTAATATGAAATCTTAGGTGCAGTACTACACCCAGAGCTCAGAAACTGCTTGCGCTAATGAAATTCCCTGTCGCAAAATGCACCTAGAACAATGGGAGTTTTGAACACTGGCAGTGGATTGTAGTCCATAAACATTTATTCAATAATAAGCGTGTATGTCTTTAACATGCCAAAAATGTTGTTTTTGCTGCAGGAAACTATTACAGCTATGCCTCTGGAAATTGTTGTTAAAGTTTCTCTGTTCTCTTTTTTACATCCTCTTTCCGTTTCCTGTATCTCGTAAGAACTTCAGCATATTTGTTTCTTCCAGATTATCATCTGTGGATGCTTCAAGACCAGGCAGCTCCTAGGAGCTAACCAAACATTGGTCTTCTGTTGTAAGCTACATGTTGAATTTCAATTGACTTCCTACACTTTGGGGCAGTGTAGCACTTTTTAAGTGTATATATTTTGCTGTGCTTCATCCATACTCACAAGCATAACATAGTCACGTGAAGAGGGGACATGCAATGTTTAAAACCATTTCTTAATTTGTGCTCAACTACCGTATTTTTTGCTCTATAAGACGCACCAGACCACAAGACACACCTAGTTTTTGGAGGAGGAAAACAAGAAAAAGAATATTCTGAATCCCAGAAGCCAGAACAGCATGAAGGATCGCTGCGCAGTGAAAGCAGCAATCCCTCTTGCTGTTCTGGCTTCTGGGATAGCTGCACAGCCTTCATTCGCTCCATAAGACGCACACACATTTCCCCTTACTTTTTAGGAGGGAAAAAGTGAGTCTTATAGAGCAAAAAATATGGTATTTTTTAAATGTCAGTTCCACTGTGCAATTTAAAATCAACAAATTTTACATTTGAGCTAGAACACTTTCAATTAAATTTATTTAATGGGAAGACCCACACAAACTAAAAAATCGGTTAAGCATCCAACTAAAATGACACTGGCAAGAAAAACACGAGTGAAGGTGTGTGGAGGTACATAGCAATTCACATAATGCAGCTGTCTGAAAGAAAGAAAAATGCCCAAGCACTGGGCACAGTTCCAGTTACGTTTATCAAATCTGAAAGAGGTGTTTATCTTCTACAAGGACTGTAGGCTCCTGCTTAAAGGTTTTTCTGTCCAACAAAAAAACAACTGCCTTGGCTCTCACTCATGGGTGCAGTACTCAGACCTTTGGCCTAGTTATTACCATAGGTTTAATCCAAAATTCACTACACAGTCTAAATATCAATCTGGTAACCAGGTGCGCACTTAGCAGATTAATACTAAGCTCTAAGTACATGGCTTGGTGTTAAGGTAAGACATTATCCCAACACTTAACACACACGCTGAGCTCCCCTTTTGAAGAGCAGGCACAGTCTTACATGCAGATCATTGATCCACAGGACTGGGCAAGCAGGCAGGCACACCTTTGAGTAGGCAGAGTTTATTCACACCACCACAGGCAGCAGCACTGTGTCCTTGAAGATGGAGGCAAAGGTGATTGTGCCAGTTCACTGTTCAACCTAGGCTCAAGTGCCTACCTGGAATGGGAAGTGCTTTGCTAGCAGTAGGTGAGACAGGGGCTAATTTGGACCCTCCCCAGTTGGCGCCTGGGACAGCCAATGTCTCTGAGGTGGGGCTTTCTCCTGACAACCTGCTCAGCCCCTCCCCAGCATCCTGATGGGTACCTCCCAAGCTCCTTCAAACCAGCCCTGCCAAGGAGTCCTCCCAGACGTCACGACACAGGCAGCCCAGTGTGCACTCACTAAAAAACTTAGGCAACTTTTAGACTTCATGAACATGTAGACTTCATGTACAGAAATAGGTTACTTGCCTAATAGGTCATTTCCTAATCTCATTATACGTTGTTTGCCTCTATTATACAAAGCAATAGATAAAAGCACAGCAAGACTCACTTTTGCTTTCATCATAAGGTACACCAAACTAAAAATGTAAAGCAGTTTTGACTGAAAGCAAATTTGACTGTGGCTTTTCCAGAAAGCAAATTATCAGTGTACAATTACAATGCATTACTGTTAATAATATTCCTAAGAACAACACCTGCATAAACCATCATGGAAGGGAAATTAATGTCTACTAAAAGTATTGCTTACATAAAAGAAGGAGAAAAATTTCTGAATCATCCTATATTTATTTTAATATACATACATACATACATAATTGTATTTGTATGCTGCATTTCCATAATTCAAACCATGCTCAAGGCAGCTTACAACATGTAAAAAATACATAATTCTAAATGCTACAAAAGGAATCACGAACAATAAATAAAACATCAAAAAATACACAACCAAATTGAAATTTCCATATAAATCATAATATTTTTTAAAAAAAGAAAATAAACAATTAATATCAATAACAGCAGCAACCCCCCCCCCATAAAAGTCCCTAAACAATATCAAACATAAGAGTCTGGACATACAAGGAACATAAATAAAAGAAAATAAGGCAAGTATTATTTAGGGATTAAGACTTCCAACTTGAAGTCATGGCAATTACCCTGTTGTATTGACACCAACAATGAGAGACAGGTAAGACAACTAAATGCATAAAATGGAAAATAAACTCGACATTATTTCCTTTAAGCAACAGGACTTTCACTTTGAAGCAAGTCACCAACATATATTTAATTAAATTAACTGATTTAATTCATACACACATAAATTAATAATTTTTATTTAAACGTAAGGAATTATAAAAGTTCTACAACAGATACAAAACAGAACAAGTAAGCTCATCAATTATTATCCTGTTACAAATGGAGGGGCGACAAGTAAATGACACATCAACTACTCTGCAAGAAGGCAGAATAAAAAGGAACCATAAACCATAATAAGGTTCAAGAAGTTAATAGCAGTACAGTACTAGAAACTATTTTTCTTTTAGAAAAAATATTTTTACCATTAAGTCAATTATATCAATTCCATCTTTTACGCAAGCGCATTTAAGATGGCTCAAAATCCTAAAAAAGGTTTTTACACAGTGCAATCACATCCCATGCAAGGGATCTTTTCCAGAGGCAGCCTACATATGCATAATCGCATGCAGCCCAAAGCTGCTGCTAGGCAAGAGAGGGTACCTTCGCATGGAGGACTTCTGGTGACTCTGATGCCTTTCCTCACTCCTCCATACATGATACCTGAACTGAGAGGGCCATAGCAGATTGTTTTCCTTCCTCTCCAAGGTATCAAGCAAGGAGGAGAGAGTAGGGAGTGGAAACCAGCCTCCCTTAGTTCCAAGACAAGTGGGGAAGCAGTGGAGGCAGACAGAAGAAGAAACCCCATTCCGTTCTCTTCAACTGCAGAAGGGAGGAGAGGCAGGGAGAAGCTGCAGTTCCATTTCAGAGGCATCCCAGCCTTTTTCTTGAAATGCAAGATGAGAAAAAGGTGTCTTGCCCAGCACATCCAGTGTGTCTTCCCTCACCATCAAATCATCACCAGAAATAGCCTATTCCCTGGATAACAGTTGCCATGTCAGGTGGTGTGGCTTCCAAGCATGCTGGAATCTCATTATAATAGATTAAACAGAAGCATACTGCGTTGCTTACTTATGTTAATCATTGGGAGCTGTCTGTCCTGCAGACAGATTTTTGGAGCCCTTCTCTCCATTTGTGGCATGCAGCAATGAATGGCATTTTATGGATTAAGCTCAGAAATGGACCTCGATAGGAAAAAAACCATCTGAGGTGATATCCACTGTAGACCCAATGGAAATCAATTTCCTTGATTACGGTGGGTTTCCTCCCAAGTATGACTGATGTTGGGTATCTCCCTTGGTGACCTTATGTATAAAATATCACTCCTTTCATGCAAATTTACTAGCTAATAATAGGCAGTCATAGTTGACTAAGAATGAGGGGGAGAGAGAGATGATGAAAGCTTGAAATGAAGATAAGCGTATCTGTGTCTCTCTCTTTTCCTGAGATTTCAATTTAAGATTAAACACACAAATACTGATAATCCAGCTTTATTGTATTCTGCATTTGGAGCTTTGCTAAAGCAGTGTGCTAAATATAAGCAGTATACAGCTGTCCTGAACTTGAAACAAAAATATGGATAGCAGAGTTTTAGAGAGATGAGGTTTCCAACTGCCACCTTAGCACTCAGAAAATTAAATACAGGAGTCTTTAAAAGAATTAATTTAAGGAATTCTCTTCCCTCATCATCAATATAATCACATCTTTAAACTGCTGATCCAAATGGGATGACAGCTCAATTTATTGTGAAGTGGAAGGAGACAGTAGCACTTTTACTTTTTTTCAGAAATTTTAGAATAGTCAGTGATCCTGATGTTTGTAGAATGCTTGGCATTGGTGTTCCAAATATTATCAAACCTCCTTAACCTGTATAAGGTTATTTAATGAAATGACTGATTAGCCTAGAATTGTTGTTATTTCAAACCATGGTTTTGAAGACTGATATAAAATGTTTGAATTTCTTTCGTTTCTCTTGGTTTGCCATAATGCATTAATTGGAGACACTGTGGTTAGCATTAACCAGGACTGACTTGGAAATGGAAGAGTGCGAAAGCCTGTGGCACATTCTCGGTCCTTCAAACTATTGTTTGGCATATTGGGATCAGGATGCTCAATGACTCTTAAACCAGGCTCAAGTCAGAAAACCATAGTTTCCTGCTTTTCAAACAAGACACAGAAAGACCTGAGATCATGTGCTTCTTCCTCACCTTCAGCATAGCAGGAGACTGGAAGCTTCTATTTCCTATACAGCTCTCTGTTCTGTCTTAAATTAGGGACTATTGTCTGTTTAAACCAGTGTTTCCCAAACTTGGGTCTCCAGCTGTTTTTGGTCTACAACCCCCACCATCCCTAGCTAACAAGACCAGTGGGTCAGGATTGATGGGAACTGTAGTCTCAAAACAGCTGGAGACCCAACCCAAGTTTGGGAAACACCTGCTTAAACCCTAGTTAGGAAAAACAAACCAGGATGAGAAATGAGAGTTTGATATTTGGTGGTAGGAAACATCCTATGGAGATTCAGTCACTCCTCTTGGTGTGTTGTGCTCATATGCTGTGGTGGTGGTAGGAATCTCCAGTTATTTATTTACTTAGTAAATCTAAACCCACAAAGTGGAAAAACTACTTGGTAAAATAATTACTTTTATTTCAGGTACTGGAAATAAAATAAAATAAAATACATACTTAGAATAATAGAATCATATTTGGAAGGGACCAAAGGGTCATCTAGTCCAACCCCCTGCAATGCAGGAATCTCAACTAAACTATCCAGGACAGATGGCCATCCAACCTCTCCTTAATAACCTCCAATGAAGGAGAGTCCACAACCTTCAGAGGGAGTCCGTTCCACTATTGAAAAATTCTTAATGTCAGAAAGTTCTTCTTGATGTTTAGTCGGAATCTCCTTTCTTGTAATTTGAAGCCATTGGTTCATGTCCTACTCTCTGGAGCAGGAGAAAACAAGCTTGCTCCATCTTCCATGTGACAGTCGTTTAGATATTTGAAGATGGCTATAATATCTCCTCTGGGTCTCCTCTTTACCAGACTAAACATACCCAGCTCCTTCAACCGTTCCTCATAAGACTTAGTTTCTAGACCCTTGATTGTCTTAGTTGCCCTCCTCTGCACACATTCCAACTTGTAAACATCCTTCTAAAATTGTGGTGCCCATAACTGGACACAGTATTCCAGATGTGGTCTGATCAAGGCAGAATAGAGTGGTATTACTTCTCTTAATGGGACTTGGGTGGCGCTGTGGGTTAAACCACAGAGCCTAGGGCTTTCCAATCAGAAGGTCTTCAGTTCAAATCCCTGTGATGGGGTGAGCTCCCATTGCTCAGTCCCTGCTCCTGCCAACCTAGCAGTTCGAAAGCACATCAAAGTGCAAGTAGATAAATAGTTACTGCTCCGGCGGGTAGGTAAACAGCATTTCCGTGCGCTGCTCTGGTTCGCCAGAAGTGGCTTAGTCATGCTGGCCACGTGACCCGGAAGCTGTACGCTGGCTCCCTTGGCCAATAAAGCGAGATGAGCGCCGCAACCCCAGAGTCGTCCGCGACTGGACCTAATGGTCAGGGGTCCCTTTACCTTTACCTTAATCTGGACACCATACTTCTGTTGATGCAGCCTAGAATAGCATTAGCACTTGCATTATACCTACCTAGTTATCAAATAGGAAGGGGCCACAGGCTTGTATTGTATTCTTAAAGTATGCAACTAAAAGCAACAACAACACTCACTCACTATTCTCTACCTCTTTCCCCTTTTCTTCCTAATGTAACACTAATGTCTCACAACAAATGAAACTGATCTGTAGAAAACGTAACTTGAAAAAAAGAGATATTGCACATACTTTTGTAAACCAGGAAATCTTTAATAAAAATATATTTAAAAACAAACAAACAATACTCCAGCATTAGGCATCATTTAGCTACCTTGCATGGAAACAGCAGCAACAAGTAAGAAAAAGAATTTGCAGCCATATTCCTAACAAGCTTTGAGAATTGTAAAATTTAATACCTAATGCCTGTTTCTCAGTTAAAGACACTAAAAGAGAGCAACCTTACTAATAATTTTATTCTAGCCATAAACTCAGTTGCTTCAAGGCTACTGAAAACACTGAAGTTATTTTCTAAGTTCTAAATGTATCTGTTCTTGGAATAAAACTGTAGCTAGAAGGATACACAGCGATTCACAATATATTCCCAAGGAAAATACAGCATCTTTGTGTGCTTTGAAAATGGGGGTATGTGGACGTTGACCACCCTGCTGATATGCTGCTGTTACTGACATCTCTAAGACACCCATAGGAATTCTCCAATTCATACGACTATATTCACATTACTGTACAATAATTTGTTTATGGAATTAGTTTTCTCTTTCAAGCAAAAAAATCATTGTTATTGTTCTCTAAGCAGGTCATTAATGACCTCTGCAAACTGGAAAGTGATGGAATTGTAAATGGCATGCACTTTATATTGGCTCCATGTACCGCTCAATGCTATGAATGCAAAATTTGAAGTTGAGGTACAATTCCAAAGTGGACACTAGTTTAACACCATCAGGAATCAGTGCACTGCTGAATTACCTCTGGTTGAACACAGGTACTTCAGAGAACAGACTGTAAAAACAGGACAAATCATACTAGAAAAGAGAATACAGTTCCAAAGTACAGCAGACGTGCTATGCTGGAGCTGAGGGTGGTGTGGTAGGGGACAAACATGGGTCAACTGAATAGATCATGTTACAGCCATCACAACAGAAATAATTTCCCCAGCAAAATGTATGCACTAGTCTTGGACAGAAAGATGTGTGTATGTGTGTGTGAAGGGATGGCGATGCTTTGGAAATTGGTGCTGGAGAAGACAGCTGAGAGAATGTTGTTAAGCAGGCAAGTAATCAACTATTTGAACTCCATAGGTAAAGGTAAAGGGACCCCTGACCGTTAGGTCCAGTCACGGATGACCCTGGAGTTGCGGTGCTCATCTTGCTTTACTGGTCGAGGGAGCCAACGTACAGCTTCCGGGTCATGTGGCCAGCATGACTAAGCCGCTTCTGGCAAAACAGAGCAGCGCAAGGATACACCGTTTACCTTCCCACCAGAGTGGTACCTATTTATCTACTTGCACTTTGACGTGCTTTCGAACTGCTAGGTGGGCAGGAGCAGGGACGAGCAACGGGAGCTCACCCCATCGCGGGGATTCGAACTGCCGACCTTCTGATCGGCAAGCCCTAGGCTCAGTGGTTTAACCCGCGTCCCTTTGAACTCCATAAAAGGTAAAGGTACCCCTGATCATTAGGTCCAGTTGCAAACGACTCTGGGGTTGCACGCTCATCTCGCTCTATAGGCCGAGGGAGCAGCGTTTGTCCACAGACAGCTTCCATAGTCCATAGCAGTAGCCAAATTACAAAGTGACGCCACAAATAAAGTCATTCTGCCAGCAGTCACACATGCGAGATCTACTGTATTTGGGACAGTGTCCTAGAACTCCGCTGAGAGGCAGGTGAACTGAAAGGCAACATAGCACAAGGACAGAGCTTTGCATAGCAAGTTACATTTGCACTCAAATTTGGCTTCTAAACCATGATTAGTGCAAACCATAGCCTGTCACGGTATGTGAACCAACTCTGTTGAGAAGTTACCAGACTTAACTGAGGACTACTTGCCAGGAATACTAGCTAATGTTTTAATCTTCTTTCTTTAGGTTTAAGTCTCCCAAATTTAATTTATTTATATCAGTTGGGGGGGGGGGATTACTTGTCTGATAGCTGAATTTTAGGCATAAGTAGGAAGTAATCCTCCAAGCACATCTATTTAGCCATTATTGTTTGCAAGGCCTGTTTCATCTACTTTTACTCTACAACTGTCAATTCATTTGCTCAATTTACTCTGCACTTGATCAGAGGATATATTGTGCACTCCAAAAAACATTGTGGCAAACAATGATAGGAAACATGAAAGAAAGTGGTGGGAAATCTAACAGCTGTAACTTAGATCTCCTACTGATGCTAATTCACTAACTAAAAAGCACAACTTTAAAAAAAGAATTTATGGCTAGAGGCCTAGCTGATTAGATGTAGGAAACAACTGTGATCACATGGAACTAAGCAATTAGGTCAAAGCCTGCTCTTTAAATTGAGACAGATGAAGGTCAAGGAATGCATGAATGGAGACAAAAGAAGATTTATTCTGTCCTCAGATGTTATACAAGACTTCCAGCAAATAATAATTAGAACTTTTGAAACTTTATGTAAGTAACAGATACAGTTTTGTCCTAGAACATATAAAATAAAATACACTTAAGATTTCCCAGTAAGCCAGGAACTGACAAACCAGTACTCAAGCAGTCATATGCCAATCCCTCATAGCTAATGTTTTCTGAACATGGATGCATTAATTTTTTTTTAGTGGATATTAAAATCAAAGAAAGAAATTTCCAGGGTGCATATATGGTTGATGTGCCTATTTTTCTAGCTACTGAATGATGATGATGATAATTTATCAATAAGGCTGACTTTGACTTCCAAGTAAGCAGGCTTAGAACTGCAGCCTTAGAGACTAGATAAGGATGCTCTGAGACATGATGCAGAATGCATCCATTGGTCCATTCACTGGTGGATTCATCAAACCCTTCATATTGTGGAGTAGAATATGATTTCTTTCAGCCACAGCAAGCAGAGGAGGTGGGTGAGGGATGAGATGAAGGAACACAGGCTGTACACAGTGCCTCAGATCAAAGAAACCATGGGGTTCCTACACATCACCATTTCAGTACAAGGACATGGGACTAGGGTAATAAGCGTACTATAATGGGGTCAGAACAGCATACCTAAACACTTTTGTAGGAAGAAGATTGATGTAGGATCTTGATGCAGATGGTTTTGAGGACCCGTGAATCATGCGCATTTATGAGGGATAGCAAATTCATGAGGATTATGAGGTTTTTTAAAAAATTATTCATGTTTCACAACATGGTGCAGTATAACACATCAAACAAAAACGAACAAACAGAACTAAGAAAACACAGCCAGTTAGACAATCTAAATGGCAATAAAAGGGAGTTAAACAATGGGTGGGGTAGAACATTGTGCCAACATAACTGAGTCCCTCTAAAAGGAGTTTTGAGATCACGAAGGTACCAGTCCCCTTTCTACCTTACTAAGAGAAAAGAAAAGAAGGGGAACTAAATAGATTCAAAACTCTTATGGTTTCAGAGCTCTCAAGCACTTAACTGCACACTTCAGTCATAAACACTGTCTTGAGAACTACCGGTAGCATTGGGACACGGTTCATATTTTCTTTGTGGCGCTGCCAATACAAATGAAAACACACATACAGACAAGTGGATCGTTTCTTCCCCCTACCCTCAAACCTTCCATAGGGGACAATCAGAACAAATGCCACAACATTCCCAAGGCAACTCTAGCTTATAATACTTGTTTCAGAAGATGCTATAGCATCTTCTTGTTTTCTTCTGAAAACAAGAAACAAGTACAGCAAGATTAATTCCTCTAGCAAATGCCAAATAACATTGTTATGGTTAAAAGGGGTTTGGGGTTTTTTTGCTACACAACTATTTTTTCAACAACATATCACGGTTAAAGGTAAAGGTAGAGGGACCCCTGACAGTTAAGTCTAGTCACGAACGACTCTGGGGTTGAGACGCTCATTTCACTTTACTGGCCAAGGGAGCCAACATTTGTCTGCAGTTTTTCCGGATCATGCGGCCAGCATGACTAAGCCTCTTCTGGCAAACCAGAGCAGCGCACAGAAACGGCATTTACCTTCCCACTGGAGCGGTACCTGTTTATCTACTTGCACTTTGACGTGCTTTCAAACTGCTAGGTTGGCAGGAGCTGGGACCGAGCAACGGGAGCTCACCCCGTCGCGGGGATTCGAACCGCCGACCTTCCAGTCAGCAAGCCCTAGGCTCAGTGGTTTAGACCACAGCATCACCCTCATCCCATATCATGGTTAGGTCCCATTTATTAACACTTGTAGTAGTAGTAGTAGTAGTATGGATCAGTTATCAGTTGGAAAAGGCCAAGAGACTGACCCTGTCCATGAATTCATACTATTCAGACGTATTACTGCTGCAGCTGGTGCATGTAAACTGGGCCTTATGCACGATGAATTTTTAATGTGATAAAACCTAATTTTTGAAATCCAGGTCCTTTCAGCAACCTGGTGTTTACAAGTGGGAATGCAGCTGCTTTCACAAGTGTTTCTGCCTGGCAGTTTGGCAGACCCTCTACCTGCCGTTAACTTTCAGGTGTCACAGTAAACCATAGTTATTTACTGTGCATGACCTAGTCATATCCACTACCTCCTTGCTAGTGCTGGGGAGAAAGAAACCATGGCCCTTGGGCTTAGAATTAAGATTGTAACCAGGGTTTGTTTCTATAGATTGTTTTGTTCATACAAGCTATGATTAGGAAGCCAAGAAAAGCCTAGGCTATACCTTGTGACTTTTTTCTGAGTGAAACAAACCAAACCCTTTGTCTTGGACACAACACTAAACTGAGAATTCTGATCTGATTCTTCCTAGAACAATAAATCTTTAACTATAGTTTACTATGATGTTCATGACTGTTGCCATTGTCTCCTTCTGTGATGGGATTATGAGCTGCTTGTGCGTAAAATCGTATTCCCTCAGAGTTTGTTCAAGTCCACAAACCTCTGTCTGTGACTGAGCCCCTCTGACATGGCTCCTCTAGTCACTAGAAGATTCCGACAGTGGTTGCTTTCGTGATCGCTTCCAACATAAAAGCTCCTTAACGGAAACACGTCTTCTGGACTCTCTGCGTGACAGTTTCCGGCGAGGAGTGGGTGTCGCCACAGGAGGTCCGGAAGCCTCACCACTGTTTTCGCTGGAAGTATCTCTGAGCCATCCCCCAGCTCCTTTCCCTCAGTTCAGCTTCTCTCCCCTGCTGGTTTCCTCTTCCGCTGCTGAGTCTCTTCCAACCTGTCTGAGCCCTTTCACCTCCCTCAGTTCAGCTTCTCTCCCTTGCTGGTTCCCTCTTCAGCTGCTGAATCTCTTCCAACCTGTCTGAGTCCTTTCACCTCCCTTCCTTCCGATGGCAGTTCCCTGACATCCACCTCCCCTCCAGGGCCCCCTTCACCCCCTCTCGCCCCCTCCTCTACGGGCGGTGAGGAGGCAAAACCCCGGAATGAACTTCCTTCATCTTCCGATGTCTCGAACACTTCTCTCCACCTGTTGCGGTTCCTGGTCTGAGACCACCCTCAATGGCACCCCGTGCAACCTAAAAATGTGTTCTACAAATAACTTCGCTGTCTCTTCCGCCGTGACTGCATGCGAGCAAGCTACAAAGTGGCACATCTTTGTTAGTAGGTCTACCACCACCATGATGGCTGTTTTCCCTTTGGACTTCGGCAGATCAGTCATAAAATCTATCGACACTGCCTCCCAAGGTCGTTCTGGTGTTGGTAAGGGTTCCAATAGCCCCGCCGGCGCCCGCCTTTCCCCTTTGGCTCGCTGGCACTGCTCGCACCCTCTTACATACTCACGTACATCCTCCCTCACCTTAGGCCACCAAAATTCCCTGGTGACCAACCACATGGTTTTGTGTTGCCCAAAATGCCCGCCGTGGGGCTGTCATGCAACTGCTTGAGTACCCTCCCCTTAAGTCTCCTTCAGGGATATACAGTGCCCTTTGTAATACAAAGCTCCATTTCTTTCCTCGAAACCCCTTGATTCCTCTCCCTCATCCCTAAGACCTCTGAGCTTATTCTGGGCGTATTCATCATTCTCTGTTTCTTCTACCAGTTCTCTTTGTCCCACCAATGCCGCCCCACACACCCAGCGGTCCTCTGGAATGACATGTCTCTCTTCGGGTGCTCCCTCCCCTCCCAATATTCAGGTTTGCGTGAGAGAGCGTCCGCCCTAATGTTCTCTGGGCCTGGCACGTAACAAATCTCAAAGTTAAATTTGGAGAATTCCTGGGCCCATCTCACTTGCCGTTGGTTGAGCACTCGTGCCGTCCTCCAATACTCTAGGTTCTTGTGGTCAGTGCACACTTGCACCTTATGTTGTGCGCCAATTAGCAGGTGCCTCCATCTCCGGAACGCCTCATGAATGGCTAGTAGTTCTCGGTCATACACCGTGTAGTTCCTCTCGGATTTGTTCAGCTTTCGCGAAAAAAAGCACACGGTCTCCACTCTGACTCCTCCTTCCCTGGCTGGAGAAGCACCGCCCCAACCGCTCTGTCTGATGCGTCAGTTTCCACTCTCATCGGTTTTGTAAATCCACATGCAGGAGCTGTTGTTCCGAGGCGAAGGCCCTTTTAGTTCCTCAATTGCTTGCTCCGCATACTCCGTCCAATCGTACTTCTTCTTACTGCTGAGACAGTCCGTAATGGGCGCCGTCAGGTGGGCAAAGTTTGGGATGAACTTACGATAGAAGTTCCCAAACCCTAAAAACCTCTGCACATCCTTCCTTGTTTTGGGTGTTTTCCATTCCAGTACCGCCTGGACCTTGTCGGGATCCATGGCCAACCCCTTGTCAGACAGGCGATACCCCAGGAATTCCACCTCCTTGGTATGAAACTGACACTTCTCCAGTTTCACCCACAGCTGGTTGGCTTGCAGCCTGCTCAACACTTCTCTGACGTCTCTCACATGCTGCTCCTCATTCTCAGAATACACCAACACGTCGTCTAAGAAGGCCACACAATTCTTGTAAAGCAACGGCCCCAGGACGTGGTTCATAAACGATTGAAATGTTGCGGAGCCTGCTTGTAGACCGAAGGGCATAACTAAGTATTCAAATGCCCCTAAAGGGGTGAACATGGTGGTTTTCCATTCATCCCCCTTCCTTATTCGTATCAGGTTATGCGCCCCCTTAGATCCAGCTTGGTAAAAATCTTTCCCTTCCGCACCCTTGTCAAAATGTCGTCAATCCTGGGCATCGGGAAGGCCACTGGTTCTGACACTGCATTTAAGGCCCTGAAGTCACACACCAGTCTCGGCTTGTTCGTGTTTTTTTGGTCCACAAAAAACACTGGGCTGCCCCCCACCGCCCTGGACTCTCTGATGAACCCTCTCTTCAGGTTCTTGTCAATGAACTCTCTTAGCTCCTGCATCTCTCTGTCTGACATGGCGTACAGCTTGCCCACAGGGAGCTGTGCCCCAGGGAGCAAATTGATTTGACAGTCAAAGGCTCTATGCGGTGGTAGTTGGTCAGCTTCCCTTTCGCTGAAGGCGTCGCGGAGATCTGCGTATTGTCGTGGTACCTTCACGTTCTCCGTCACTTCAGTCCCTGCTAGAGTGGCTTGGGCCCCTGCCAAAACCCTTCCCTCTTTGCAATGTTCTAAGCAATGTGCTGACCCAAAAGAAACCACTCTTTGATGCCAGCCCACCAGCGGATCATGTAACGCTAGCCAGCTCATCCCCAATATAATGGGAGCTCCTCCCAAGGTGGCCACATTAAATGCTATTAGTTCGGTGTGCCTTGCCACCTTCATTATCATTGGGACGGTCTGCAAGCTGACTTCTCCTCCCAACAGCTCCCTGCCATCGATCGTGGTTACCTGCAGGGGGTTGCTTAAAGGGAGCGTCTGTATCTGGTGTTCAGCTGCAAACTCTTTGCTCATGAAATTGCAGGAGCTGCCTGAGTCCAACAGCGCCTTTATCTTTAGAGGGTGTCCGTTTGGCAGCTCTAGTGTCACTTCTATCACTAGGGCGGGTTTAGGAGGTTCTGGAGTGGGCACTTTCACTGCTCTTTGGCCTGGCTGCTGTGCCCCGACAATGGCAGCCAGGCGTTGGCTTTTAGTTGCTCCGGTATTTTTTCCTCTCTTCCCTCCACAGCTCCCACCATCCCTTGCCATTCCTTCCTCTGGGGGCAGACTCTGGCAAAGTGCCCTGGCTGTTGGCAGAGATAGCATTTCCGGGCGCCTTTTCCATCCTTCTTTCCCCCCTCACTGGGCTTTGAAGCTGCGCGCGCGCGCGCTGTTCCGATTTCCATCGGCTCTGCCGGCGGGACAGTTGGCTCTGGAATGTCTGGAATGCGGAACTCCTTCCAACGTTCCCCTTTCCCTTCCCGCCTCTCCAATGCTCTCGCCTCCTGGCGCGCTCCTATGGCCAGCGCTGATTTGGTCAGCTGGTCCATAGACTCCGCCCTGGGCGCCCGGGAAAGTTCATCTTTCACAGCCGAAGAAAGCCCTTCTTCAAAGAGCATTTGAATGGGTTCCGCCGATAAGTCCCACCCCAATCTGTGTATCAGCATGGTGAACTCAGTCCAGTACTCACGTACAGATCGGCTCCCCTGTTTGCAAGCCATTAACTGTCTGCGCACCACTCCCTTTTCAATATCGCTGGAAAACATCAGATCCATGGCGCGAAAGAACTTCATCGTGTCCTTTAGGACGTCACTATGCGCTGCCATCAGGGGTCTCACCCAGTCTCTCGCCCCCTTTTCAAGATGCCCAATCACAAAAGCCACTCGTGATTCCTCATCAGGGAAATCATCAAACTGCAGATTGAGGGCATATTGCATTTCTGTCCGAAAGCTATGATAGTCTTTGGGCTCCCCCCCAAATTTCTGCACCAATCCTGGTACCTTTCTGGCGAGCTGGGTGGCTTTCTCCCTTTGTCTGCATCTTGAGCCCTCCTCTCCTCCAGCCTCGCCGTCTGCAGCGCCAGCTGGACCTCCAACACCCGGTACCTTTCTTCCAGGCTTGGACCCGCTCCAGCCCCTGCTTCTCCGGTTCCTGCTGGGTTGCTCATTATGCCTTCTCCTGCACAAGCTGCGTTCAAAGACTGTCGGAATGCTGTGATGGGATTATGAGCTGCTTGTGCGTAAAATCGTATTCCCTCAGAGTTTGTTCAAGTCCACAAACCTCTGTCTGTGACTGAGCCCCTCTGACATGGCTCCTCTAGTCACTAGAAGATTCCGACAGTGGTTGCTTTCGTGTCGCTTCCAACATAAAAGCTCCTTAACGGAAACACGTCTTCTGGACTCTCTGCGGGACAGTTTCCGGCGAGGAGGGGGTGTCGCTCCAGGAGGTCCGGAGACCTCTCCACGGTTTTCGCGGGACGTCTCTCTGAGCCCTCCCCCAGCTCCCTTTCCCTCAGTTCAGCTTCTCTCCCCTGCTGGTTTCCTCTTCCGCTGCTGAGTCTCTTCCAACCTGTCTGAGCCCTTTCACCTCCCTCAGTTCAGCTTCTCTCCCCTTGCTGGTTCCCTCTTCAGCTGCTGAATCTCTTCCAACCTCTCTGAGCTAATGAGTCCCAAAAGGGAATGTCGTATAAAGGAATCTAGCACCAGAACTAGCACACTGTACAGGTGTATCAATGAGATCTCTCCTTGCTGAACAGGTAACAATATTAAGAAATCAAGTGGAAATGTGGATGGGCCCCTAAACAGCTTTAAAAGAGGATTAGACAAATTCATAAAGGATAAGGCTATCCACATCTACTACCCACAGTTGCTATGTTCTACCTGTCAGCATCGCCCTTGAGCCAGTGCCACCAACTGGACTCATCCACTTCAGCCCTGACTGGGCTAGGCGAGCTGGGTAGCACTTCCAGAGACCACCTTCTGCACAGGAACAGGTCAAAGTGCTGTGGACTCACAGCTTAGAGTTGTGAGCACCGGATTCACTCCAACAAGAAGACAGTCATCGCATAGCAGAGTACAGCAGAGTATATAAACAACTCGGAGAGCAGCTCTGTAGAATATCTTCTTTATTCTATCTACAACTATTATACAACTATATACAGAGCTAAATAGGTCTAAGCATAAATAAATGCTGCGCTGCACTGAGTGTCTGCAGCTGCTCTTAGCAGCAACCTTATCTCTACACACGATCTCTAACACTCAGTCTCTCTCTCTCTCCGACACTGACTGACTGACTGACTTGGTGCTGGAGCAGAATAAGTAGAGAGCAGAACACGCCTCCTCCTCTCTGGAGAATCAGCAGACTCCTCAGGAGATTCTTGGATATGGGAGGGGTGAAATCTCCTCACTACCTCCACTGTTGGAGGCAGTTTGCCTCTGAGTACCACGAGTCAAGAGAGAGCCACTGCACTTGGGTCCTGCTTATGAGCTTTCCACATATATCTGGTTGGCCACTGCAAGAACAGAATGCTAGACTAGACGAGCCCTGGTGCCAATGCGGCTAGATGCTTTTTATGCTAACTCAGTCTCCAACATATGAAGGGCTGCAAGAACTGTGATGTGATGGAGGTAGTGTTGACCCTGGCACCATCCCCATGAGGTGTTAATCAGGGGGACGGGGATTGATAAAAATGCCTGAGTAGTTTCTGGGCTCACCTACAAGTCCCAATCAAACAGGAATTCTACAACTGCAATGCCCCCTCCTCAAGTATAACTCCCACTCCCACACTTAATATGACTAGCAAAACCCTATATACGAGTGCTCAGAAGCAAGTCCTACATGTTCCATAGGATTTACTCCCAGGAAAACACATGCACGATTGCAACTTTGATTTCAGTGTGCTTCGCAGCTTCTTTGCAATCCTCCTCTAAATACTCTGCAAGGCAAGGCAGCTCATTGTTCATCTGGAGAGTAGAACAGTGGGAATGGAGGTTAAAATAAATGGCTCTGAGTGTGTCAATCAAGCTGAAAAGCAGCCTTTTCCCTAGATGATTTAACATCACTGATTTAAAAATCAATCCACCCAACCTCAAGCCTGTTTTTAAATCATTTTTCTCAGCCAACTGCTGAAACTGGAAGCCAGCCCAACTTTGGGTGGGGAGGCAGAAGAGTTGTAGGGGAGGACTGCCAGACATGGGTTTTAAGCAGCCTTATCTCCTGCATGCCCACTGCTTCTTTCCTACAAATGCCATCTCTGCCGTCCACCCCTCCCCCCCAATGCATCTTGGCAAACAAAGAACTGGAAACACAAGTTTGCCAAGATAACGTTAAGGTTTTTAAAGCAAGGATGTATTTCAATTACAGACAGTTACAGACACAGTTTAGTCTACTGTTTCGAAAAATCTATACAGTATAGCAAATAGTATGGAACTGAGACGGGGAGAGACGTTTAATTTTCACGTGGCCCCATGAAATTTAATTTGTGTTCCTCCCCTTACTTTAGTCCCAGGTCCAGTATCAATTGTCCTTTTATGTTCTAAGTAATATGGGCAGAGCACAGGGCACTGTGATAAAAAGGCAGGTAAAATAGCATCAGTGATGTAACCTCAAGGGCAAGCAATACAGAAATTTGGGCTGAGTGTTGCTGGGGTAGCAGATATGGGTTGTCCACAGCTGTAAATCAACTGGGATATGATTTATCAATTATTATTTGACTTGCATTTAAAAACAGAACTGCTGTAAAAGTTTTTCTAACACGTTTGATGGGGGCGGGGCACAATAAATTGTGCCTAAGTGTGGTTGAAATGTTATATTCAAACAGATTCAAAGGTTTACCAATATGTATCTAACAGGTTTTCTCCATGGCACCACTCTAGTTATGGACTTCCCTCTCAGCTTTGAGCTACCCAGTCCCAGCGCTGTTTTGATTTAGGAGGCAGCTTAAGACTCATCTATTTTTGCAGGTCTTTGGTTCATAGTGGAAGTGGCCCTGTCGGTTTAATAGCACTAGTAGTGATTGCTAGTGCTGGTTGTTATTTCACGGTTTTTTGTTGGCTTTCTTCCCTTCTTCTTCTTCTATTTCTCATGAATTTACTACTTGATAGCCACCCCAGGCTGTTTGATAAAGGGATTCATTAATTATGGTGAGTTGCAATAAGAAATTATTTTTATTGGAATACTTGTAGATTTTAAAAGATGACAATTCATATTGCTAAACTTAGTTTGCAAACCCACTTCAAAACCTAGATTCCGATTTGCAAATTATATTTTGTTAATTTGGTGAACCCATACCACAGGTAAGTTGATTTGAGTCAGTGGTTGCATTTGAGCTCAAGGATAAAGCCTGATGATCTTCATCTCATACACTCCCTCAGTCTCTCCAATGCAGCCACTAGAAGAAGTTAGGAAGCTTTAGAATTTAGCATGTCCAAACATTGACAAACTCTGATTAATCTTAACTATAGTTTGTTTGAAACAAACTGTGGTTTTTGAAGCTGGCTTGTTTCGAGCGAACCATAATTGCTGCTAACCAGAGTTTAGGGTTCATATAGAATACTTTAATGTGGTTAGTCAAAAATGGAAGCTAATGCCTTAGATCTCTGCCTTGCACCCAAAGGCTTGCTGTGGCTTATTTCCATCACAGTGAACCATAGCTTACTGTGATGTCCAAATGCAACCAGTGTCAAGGCAGCAAAAGTTGTATTGAATAGCAAAGCTCTCATCCCCTAAAGTAGATATAACAGGACGTTACTAGAGGAAGGGTCGTTGCACAACTCTAGCTAGTCTGCATAGTATATTCCTTCTTTTTTAAAAGGCATCTCCAAGCATATTAGAATGGATCTGAATGCATCAGGCTGTGGGCCTGCAATTTCAACAAGCGTTTAGCTTAATATAAGTACTTCAAACACAATCTTATTCTGTAAGCCTCTTATTTACCACTCACTGTATTAAAACACACAGAACAGCTGAAGCCAAGAGCCAACTGAAAGGTGCACTGCTATGAGTGTTTATTCCAACAAAGTTGAAAGTTCCATGGTTACTTACTCTATACAACATACCAAAGTAGGACTCAAATAGTTGTAGCTACTAAGTATTTGCTCTGTGAGATAACATCCAATTCCTGGATAGGGACTCAAATATGGGTGTACATTCCATCAAAGATAAGATTTTTTAAAGTGCTAACAACTTTCAACTAGACACTTCAATGAAATCATTGGGAGTTTCTGAACTCTTTCTGGACTAAAGTATACTCTGATTTTTTTCCTGGTGGTACTCAAAAGTGCTGAACTGGCACCTTTTTCCCCTAGAAAAAAGCACTGATAGTGCCTAATAAAGTAAATAAAGTTCCTAGGTAGGTGTGGGAGGGCACGATCCAAAGGCACCCCAGTTGCTGACTTGCACCACCAGCTCCAGCAAAGCAAAGGCAACAACTTCCAAAGTACGGAGGGAAAAGAATCGAAGGTCTGCCTTGGCAGGAACTCAGCAACCCAGGCCAAGAAGTGAGGGAAGCAGCTCAGACCCAAGAAGCAGCCCTCACTTCATTTCCCTCCCTTGCCTTCCATGCATGCCTCTCGCGTTTGTGAGGCAATGTTGCAAGAGACTCTCCTAGGCCTTCCAGAGAGGCAGAGAGGAGAGGGAAAGTTTCTTTTGGGGAGGGGGGAAGCCAAGGGGAAAAACTAATGAAGTGCAATTGGGATGGAATAGTAATTGGAGATGTTAAATCAAACAAATCTATTTTGGGGCAGGATCCTGCCATCTGCCTTCTGCAAAATGGATACAACTGTGCTCAGTGGGTAGTGGGTTTGAGTTCCATGTTGGGTTTAAGATTCCTGCAGGGCAGGGGGCTAAACTAAATGATCTCATGGTCACTTTCAATTCTGTGATTCTGTAAACTTTCTAGCACCTAATTTAAGTTGTCGTGGGGGCGCAAGGCATTGGAGGCCCCACCTCTGCCTTGTATTCAGTCTGCCTCCTTACGTTACTTATGTGCGTTTAGCTGAACACAGTGTTTGCAGCAATGACCAGTGGAATACCTATGAAAAACTGTCAAACAAGTTTCATTGGCAACTGCGTTCCCATTTGCCTGCAGCAACTGTATTCAGAGATTGAGAGAAGGAACCTGCGCATTAAATGTGCAGTTGTATGAAACTTGTCTGTATGCATGAGAGAGGCAAAGCTGCATGAGTCGTTGTGAGTCAGGCTTGCTCCAGTTCCACAATGGGAACATTTTTATAGATGCCTTCCACACATTTAGCTCATTTAACATATCATGAACGACTTGACCAGCACTCTTGCAGTTTCAACTTTTCTGTTTTTTAATGTGTGTTTTTTCCTAGATGCAGGGCTGGTCTTTGTAAAACTAAGCCACCTTCATGAGGATTAAGTGTTTTGACTGTTTTGATCAGGAGCAATGAAAAAAGTTTCAGAAGAATGCAGCACTGTGGCAACCGCATACACAAAGTCCTTGAAACAACAAAGTATCATAAAAGAACGGCAGAATTGTTTATTTAAAATGCACAGCCACACTGCTTGCAACCGCAAGAGAACTAAACAGAAACAGGCTTATATTTGCTTGCATTTCATAATCATTTCCACCGAAATCTGCTTTGGTCTTCTGAAATTGCATGATGAGCCGATTGCTTAAAACATCTGTTTAAAAGATAAGCAAGGGAGTACTTATCTTAGTTTTAAGTTTGGTATTTTAATGGAGATAATGTGACTAGTGAATATTTTACATTCCAATCTCAAATATTTTTAACCGGGCGTCTCATTGATTTTGACAGAACTACTCTCAAGGTGACAAATATAAGGCCTGATTCATATAGTTACTGCCGCCCACGTGAGAAAACATTTGGGTAATTACTTGATTACAGCTCCACAAAGCAAGGCATTTGTGTGAAGTGGCTTCCAGTCCATATGGCAAGTATTCAGGACACTCTGTCTCGCTGGTTTAAAACAGGTAATTATGCTGCAGCCTTTGCCTATATGGCTGTAGGTTCAAATCTCCTATCACTCTGTTTATTGATTTTAAAAAAGATAGGGTACCTACTTCTCAGTCACAAGCATCCTCAGTTAAAGGATCTCACGTACCTTTGAGGTCTTCTGCTAGTCAGAATAGACTACACTGGATCAGATGGTCCAGTGATTTGACTCAGCGTAGAGCTGCAACTTAATCCCTTAATTAAGATAATCCAGTTCAGAGAGCTTTCTAAAACAGCACACAAATGAACATGCTAGATTCCAACTTAACTAGAAATCATTTGCAACTTATTTGCTACACTACGTATTTTCTCCATGGTGCATTATTTTTATTTTGCTTTGGTAGCACCCAGTGTTTGAAATTCCCCAAGCACCAGGCATGCTTTGCTACTGATGCAGATCCAACTGTGACTACGTGGAGATTGCTGGGCGCCAGGTTGGCAGCTGACCTCTCTATCGAGCCAGCTGACTCGTGTGTGGCAAAAGAGGTGCTTCTTGTGCTTCCATGTGAATCAGGGGCCCCTGACCCAGAATATAACCTCCATACAAATCGGGGTTTGCCTGCGTTCGGAAACATACTTCCTCCACCTGCAGAGGCACAACATTGCTATCATGGCTAGTAGCCCCTGAAAGGTTTGTCCTCTATGTATTTGACCAAGCTTCATTTACAGGCATCCAAGTTGATGACCATCACCATCTCCTGTCACAGCAGCAGAGCTTCCTTGTTAACTACGCACTGCATTAAGAAGTACTTTATCTGCATAGCTGTCAACTTACAGATTTGAAAGTAAGAGACCAGCAGCCTTGAAAATAAGGGATCAGCAGCCAAAATAAGGGATCAACAATTACTTTGATAAAATACATATTTTGTTGCGTGCAAATGTCTTTAGATACCTATTAGGTCCTTAAATTACCATATAGCATATATTCAACACAAAAAAACAGCAACAATTTGTTGTTGACAAAGCAAGCTGGATATAGAAAGGGCCCCATTACCTTCAGTAGCTTATTTAAGAGACATCATTAATAAGGGACAGCAGCGGGACATGGCGCTGGAATAAGGGACTGTCCCGCCAAATAAGGGACGCTTGACAGCTATGTTTGTCTGCCCTGAAGCTTCCAACAAAACATTTCTGTCCACTTTCTCCATGCCATGCATAATTTTATATGCTTCCATCATGCCACCTCCAACTCGCCTTTTCTCTATATTAAAAAGTCCCAAATGCCGTGACATTGCACATGCTACAATCGTCCCAATTAGTTCTGATCAGTATTCTGTTGAAGGATGCATTTCTTTATTCACTTACTGGGAACAAGTCCCACTGAGCTCAGTGGGGCTCACTTCCAAGCAGACATGCACAGGCTTGCACTGTTAGTGACTACCTGTTAAGATGGTACTTGGGAATCATCAGTACTGATGCAATCTGCACAAAAAGAAGCACTGCCCTTAGTAAAATGGGAGAACATCCATGTTTAAATTTAAGCCCAATTATGGGAGCACTACTTTTGTTTTCCCATCAGCCACTGTATGACGATTGCCAGAAACCAATTTAAAGGTTACTGAATTAAAAGCGATCAACTGTTTTACTGTACATTTTAGGGAGAAATGGATTCCCACATAACATGTCAAGGTACGGAATTTAGCTTTTATACACTAAATAGTGCACATTCAATTCACAATAATTGAAGGGACACTGTTCCCCATCTCCACTCCCCCCACCAAACCCCCCAAGTTTACAGCATTGAAATAAAAGGCTGCAGCATCAGATTTCTATTTTTGTATAACAATTTTGTATGATACACACATCACTGGAAAAGTAAACTCATTTAAGCAAGAACAAAAATCAAGATGGAAGCCAACACTAATGCTTTTTTCTCCAAGTGTGAAAGCCCCTTCATCCACAGGGCAGGCTCACAGTATAGACTTTGGTCAAGCTGCTAGCTCAGTTTAGATGTAATGACAAACAAGAGTTTGGTGAATAGGAGCATCTCTATAGGTTTAAATAAATGCATGTTCTCTCTTCGGATGCAAGTTCCCTACATCCACTTACTACTTTTTGCTAACCATGGCTTGCCATGATGTCCACATTGGTACACCATGGTTAATGCTCATCTCTAAACTATTGTTTGCAGACCCACACCAAATCATGGTATGGAGGTCAGTGGCTCAACTTAATCTTCCCCACAGAGTTGTTGTGATGGTAGTGAAGAATAATAAAACACTTAGGGGCAAATTTAACTTCACACTATGGTGAATGTGCAAGTGTATCAGCTTGCTAGAGAACCCTCCCATTCCTACGCTGGCGGTTCACCCAACCTTTTTGGGGGTTCAGGGAAAAAGCCTTATTGTGCAACCCTTGTGCAGCTTATAGAGTTTGTTAGGTAAATCTTACCCTTAGTGTACTGCAGAGTGCTATACTGCAAAGCACCAATAGTTCCCCTAGTTTTTAAATTTAAAAATTAGCAATACCTTAAAAGATAAAATGCAAGCAGCAAACACAACACACTGTAAAAAGCACACACTTCATTTAGCAATTAAGCTAGGAGATTTAAAACCAAAAGCAAACTATAATCTCTAGTCAATGGTCTGGGTTTTCCAGCACAAAGCTGTGGCATAGACACATAGCATTCTGTAGTATTCAACTAACAAGCTTTATGGAGACCGTGTTAAATCTACACTGCTTAATGACTATAAATCTCTTGATCTGACATTTGACTGGAATGGAATAATTGAACTCTGATACCTTGAAACAGATCGATCTCCACTGGATTGAAAACAAATGCTAGAAATTATCTGTATTCAGGCACCCTCATACTTAAAGAACCAAGATGAAGCTGGAGAAATTATTAATATTGCATGCTAGTATTAATATTGCAAACTGGTTTGCATTCTTCCACATACACTAATAATTCACTACTGTTATCATCAGAACTTCGTGTGCATACAAAATCCACCCGCCTATGCAAACCACTTTTGCAATCAACATAAAAATAGACATACAAGTATCAACTGTAATGTTTCAATCCTCCAGCCTTACATACAGAAGAAAATCGCTTTAGCTTAGAATCACCTTTCTACGCAATGTCATCTGAGTATATATATGTATGCAAGGAGACACCTCTCTATGAAACACTAATAGCGATGCCAAGTGTAACACATTTTGCTTCTGGCTTACATATTAACTCTAAAATATACCACAGAACATTCCTTAATCTGAGGCATATAAGCAGCTCACTGGGGTTAGCAGCAAATGAATTTACACTCCAATCCAACACAGTCTGCTCATTTCTCCTGCTTCCTCCAACAGAACCGCTGGCTTCTCTTCCTCCACAGACCCTCTGCTGGGGGTCCTTACTGGGGGCCAATCTTACTGATACAGGCCCACCTCGCATGCACTTTTCCTTCCGACAAGTACGGTACCTTCCAAGTTCCTCCCCGATCTCATAGTGATCATCCAGGTTCTCTTGCCTGAAGACAGTCATGATAGCTGCCACTCCTCAGAAAGGAAAACAACACACTCGGCCGTCGCCGCCTTTCAACTCATCACATCCCTGGTAAAATCCTCCAGCATTTTGCGGCTGCAATCCCTGAAGAAACAGAGGTGGGGACGGGGAAGGGGAAAGACAGTTGTTTAATTCAAACGCCTGCGTTTGCAAGAGGGGTGTGGTTATCTGCACACTGCAACATGCACCGGTTAACGCCAGATATCAGCAGCGGCGGAGGCGGCGACCCCGGTTTCAGAATCGCGGTGCGGATCAGCCCGCGCGCGGCCTTGGGCTGCTCAACTTTGCTCTCCAGGAACCGCTGCCGACGGCAAATGGAAGGCGCCGTTCCTTCCCCGGCCTCCCGTCCATACACAGGAGAGGGGCTCTCCCTCGCCTTCCCCCTTCCTCCAAAGCTGCCAAATGGGAAACGCGCCGGCCCGTGGGAGGGAAGGGGAGGGGAGAACCGACGCTCGTTTCCCGGATCGAGCCCCTCCGCGGGCGAGAGAGCAAAGCGCAGCGCCCAAGCGCGCCTCACCTTTCGCTGGCCGAGAAAGCCGGAGCAGCGGCGCGAGCAGCCACCATTTCCACCTCAGGAAGGCGCCTCCGAGCCGCCCGGGCGCCACATTCCTCAGCGACTCCCCCTCCGTTACCCGGTCAACTAGGACGTGCTACCGGGAGGAGCCTCCTCCTCCTCCTCCTCCGCTGCTACTACTACACGGTTTAAAAGGCGCCTGCCTCAGAGGAGACCACATCCATCTCGGGAGGCAGCCAGCGCCGGCCTGCCCAGGTTGCTTCCCGGGGCGCGCGGGGACCCTTCCTCCTTTCCCTTCCTCGGCGCTCGCACGAGGCCTCCTCTCCCCCACACGCAGCGGCGCCGGAGAAGGAGGGAAGCGGCCAGCAGCTGGGCTAAACTAACCGAGGGGAGGGAGCGGCGGAGGGAGGGAGGGAGAAAGGGAAGGAAGCCCTCCGCCTCGCCGCGCTTTGCTGTGGCGGCTGCTGCAGCTGCAGGGGGAGGAGCGCGCGCCCCGGAGTTCTCCTTTGGCGCAGCGACCCTCTTCCCGGGTTGGGGCAGCCCGAGAGAGAGAGAGAGAGAGAGAACCCGCCCCCTCCTCTTTCTCCTCCTCCTCCTCCGACATGCAGCGCTCTCTTTCTCTCGCGCCGGCGACTCACCGGCCGCACTGGCTGCAGGCGGCGACAATCGGCCCCCGCCGACGTCCTCGCTCCCGGGAGAGCCCAGCAAGGCAGGAGAAGGACTCCGGCCAGCGGCCAATGGGAAGGCAGCTGCGCGCGGCGCTGCCCCCCCCCCCGCCGTCCTCCTCCTCTCCTGACCTGCGCTCGGCAGCGGCGAAGGGGCGGGGAGCGCGGACGCAGGCGCGCGACGCGGCCGTACAGGTGTCCAGAGCTGCCGGCGCGCGCGCTTGGGCCGCCCGAGGGTTGGCCTCGGTTTGCCCAGCGGGGAGGAGGAGGAGGCGCTTAGGCCCGCTGCCGCACCTGCGGCGCCCTTTGGAGTGGCTTCGACGGCCAGGCAGCTGGGCGCAATGGCTCCGCTTGGGATTAATCGACGGCGAGAGGGCAAAGTGCTAAAGCAACAACCTCAGATATGCAGGTGATACAACCTTGATGGCAGAAAGAGAGGAGGAATTAAAGAACCTTTTAGTGAGGGTGAAAGAGGAGAGCGCAAAATATGGTCTGAAGCTCAACATCAAAAAAATGAAGATCATGGCCACTGGGCCCATCACCTCCTGGCAAATAGAATGGGAAGAAATGGAGACAGTGAGAGATTTTACTTTTTTGGCCTCCATGATCAGTGCAGATGGTGACAGCAGCCACGAAATTAAAAGACGCCTGCTTCTTGGGAGAAAAGCAATGACAAACCTAGACAGCATCTTAAAAAGCAGAGGCATCACCTTGCCAACGAAGGTCCGTATAGTTAAAGCTATGGCTTTCATTAGTGATGTATGGACGTGAGAGCTGGACCATAAAGAAGGCTGATCGCCGAAGAATTGATGCTTTTGAATTCCGGTGCTGGAGGAGACTCTTGAGAGTCCCATGGACTGCAAGAAGAACAAACCCATTCATTCTGAAGGAAATCAGCCCTGAGTGCTCACTGGAAGGACAGATCGTGAAGCTGAGGCTCTAATACTTTGGCCACCTCATGAGAAGAGAAGACTCCCTGGAAAAGATCCTGATGCTGGGAAAGATTGAGTGCACAAGGAGAAGGGGACGACAGAGGACTAGATGGTTGGACAGTGTTCTCGAAGCTACCAGCATGAGTTTGACCAAACTGCGGGAGGCAGTGGAAGACAGGAGTGCCTGGCGTGCTCTGGTCCATGGGGTCACGAAGAGTCGGACACAACTAAACGACTAAACAACAACAACAACAACATTGCAGGAGCTGGAGCCTGTGGTTGAGACGAGGCTCTGAATCACAGCCCTCTCCTCAGCTTGCCCTTTCAAGTTATGCTCTCTGACCTGATAAGCAAGATAAGCTTATTAGATAAGATAAAGGACCGTATTAAAAAGGATTGTCTTGTAGCTGCACCAGGTTAAGAAACATGAAACTTTCTTGAACATAAAAGGTGAACAATAGCAAAACTGGAACAACTCACATAGTTTTTTTGTTTACTTTCACAAAAGTCTGGGGGGGGCAGAAAGTATTGTAATGTGTGTGGTAGATGAGCCTTTCCGAAAGTGTGACTGACTCCAGAAGGCCTAAAATGATTTAAAATTGGCCGAGATAATGTGTGTTGGGGAAGATGGCAGAAGGTGCTAGTTTAAGTCTACTACTGTGCAAGGGACTGCTATTTATAGACTTTGAGATTTACAGCAACACCTACAAAACCAAATTAAAATACTGTAAATTTCCCCATCCTTCTGTCAGTTTCACAACAAGTGAGTCCAAATAGGTCTTGCAGTGCTTCTGAAAGGCGCTCTACCCTTAGCTTCGAAGGGTATCTGAAGAGAAGGAGTTGCATAACCAGGGGATGACTCTTATCTACATACCTTGCTAAATTTTCCTGAAAAGGGATGCTGATAGGACTCTACCATTGGCTGATTTCAGATAACTAGCATCATTGCTCAGCATAGGGAAAGAAGTGATTGGTTAAGTTTTCTTGTTCTTAGTCTGAAGCCTTTTAGCTGTGTATTGGTCAAAACCAGTGGCTTACATTCTTTTTAGAAGCAGACACTGGAACAACGTTGCCAGTGATCGATTGCCATTAGGAGGAGATGGGCTGATTTGCTCAGCACCAAAGACGAAACTCATATTAAAAGGACATTACTGTTCAAAATATGTATGTTAATTTAGTTTGAATGAATTTCCAGAGGGATATCTGTGTAAATCAAACGCAGAAAAAGGAACAACATAAATTGAGCCCTGCTGAATCGTGCCAGAGGCAAATCTTACCCAGTATTATGTCCTCACAGTTGCCAACTTGATGTCTGTGAGAAGCCCGCAAGCAGATTTTGAATGCATCAGCAGTCTCCCCACTTGTAATTCCTAGTAGCTGGTATACTGAGATTATACTTACTCGTGAGAAAGGTTTTGGGAGTAAACCGCAAGGAAAAATCCCTACTTGCTGCCTAGTGGGGCATCTTCAGGAGAAGAAAAGGTTAAGGAGCAAATCCTACACAAATCCAAAGTGAAGTCCCTAAGACGGCTGAATAGCATCTTGTATGCCTCCTTCCGGCAACTCCTGCAGCCAAACTGGTGCCAGAAGTATTGTTCTGCTTACCTTGGACTGCATCAGTGAGGCCGAGTGGAGGATCTTGTTGTCTGGGCCGCCCAGGACCTCCACACACACTGTGCCCAGGCTTGCGCCCTGGAGAGGTCACTTCAGTGCTACTAATGCAGCAAAAACCATCAATGCAAGAGGCAGCAGTTATGAGTTATCCGTCTCTGCAACCACAGCAGGCGCTGTGATTCTCCAGCAGTTTGCCTTCAATCCCAGAGGCACACTCCATTGTATCTTGAGAAAGACGGATACCAACAAAACTGCCTCCAACAGTGGAACATCTCTCATGGGCTAGTAACCATTGATACCCTTGCCCTTCATGAATTTATCTAATCCCCCTTTAAAGCCATCCAAGTTGGTTGGAATCACTACCTTTTGTAGGAGCAAATTCCAATCTAACTATGCTCAAGGTGAAGAAGGAAGAGCCTTGTATTACTCTGAAGGCTAATGCATTTCATTACGAGGTTTTTAAGGTTAAGAACAAAACTATATCCACATTGAGTTTTCAGTCAATGTGAACTGTGTAAAACAAATCCTGTATCCTGCTCCTGTTACATATTGACAGTACTGAAATTTAAATTGCCAAAACAAAACCAAGAGAACTGCCTAGAATTACCGTAGATATAGCTTGCTTCACCAGCTGGCTTATATAATATGATGAAACTCTTGGGATGACTCAGGATTGAAGAAAGGAAACCAAACGGAGGCAGTTTGGAAAACAAAATACATTCCTAATTATACAGAAATGTTGCAGTATTTATTAAATTTCACACTTTATTACCAAGATGAAAAATGTGATTTTTTTTTTACTCATTAGTAAGTAAAAAGTAAGCATTAGATGATGATTCTACAATGCTACTAAATGTTTTTTTACCCATTCAATTCAGTTCTATCTTGCCCATTTCTTTTCATGATTGAGATTGTGATTCCACGATTCTACTAAATGTTTTTGTACCCATTTAATCCAGTATTATCTTACCTATTTCTTTTCAAGATTGAGACAAGTTTTCAGGTCATACGCAACCCCAAAGGAGCATAAAACCTACTGCAGATGAGCAGCTTTTAATTTTTGTGTGAACTCTTTTATCTCATAAAAAATGCTGATCATCAAAGGTCAAGGGAAGTACAACAATCAGATAAGGCATGTCTTCATACACAAGGAACCCCAGTTGTCTAATGGCTGGTGTGTAGGTGTACATATTTTGTCTCTGCAGGACTCAGTTTATCTGAACTGATAATTTGGGTAATTCTGGGTGTTGGATACAGCATGATTAAGAACTGTCGACATGTAGTCTTTCTCATCCCAAGAAATATGGGATCCATGGCTCCCAACTTCCTCCACATAAACTTGATAAATAATATGAAGTTGTGAATAATAAAGATGGTGGAGAAGAGAACTAATTTGATGTAGCTGAATGAGGTGAACAGGTTTGATTTCTCCTTGTGCAAGCACCCAGGGTACGTTTTGTCTGGCATTGATTATGGGTTTTTTTGTATTTTTCTAAGGACAAGTTTAACATTCTGCTTAGTTTAGCAACTTCCCAGGGAGCTAGCGGATTCTATGATCAAATAGATAGAGGCGATCTTAAGCCTGGTGTTTGAAGCATTCTTGCTTATGGTACTGGATGTCCTCTGACATTCATGCCAAGGTCATCTGACTTAGGACTGTTGGGAATTCCATTCCACCCTTGCTGCAGATATGTGGGATTGTTACATGTCACATGTCTGTTTACATTCCAGCACAGATTGCTGGAGTCCCATGAGCGGAACATCCTCTCTGTATTGCTTTTGTTTTCTCTCTCTCATAGAAGAACGACCATGTTTTTCTTTGTCCTGATTTATGTATAATAAATGCGTAGTATAGTCCAACAAGGACTTCATGGCTGTCATAACTTCCAATGAGTTGTCCTAGGTTATATTGGGAATATTAAAAAGGTACAAAGTTCAAGCTTTAGATTTACTTTTCAGTATTAGGCAGACTCCATTAATCTAAAATTATTAGTGACATTGATATAAGGACGTTGTTACAGATAAGACAGCTACCTAATCAAGGTTGCTTACCTCTGCAAGGATGGTAAACTAATTGGGTTGGTCTGTTACAGGGATCCTAATGTAACTCTAATATATTCTGTAATTATCATGGTGGGGTTACTAATGGAGAATGGAAAGAGGTTCTGTGGATACCCTAACCAAACGGTGAACATAGTTCCTTAAATTTAGCAAAGAGAAATGCTGTTGCAACCCACACCCGCCCCCCCACTAACGTGAATACCATTCTATGTCTGCTAACATGGGCCACCACATTCTTCAGGAGCTGGAAGTTTCCAAATCTTTTTCAGATGCACCTCCAGGCAGAGTGCATTACAAGAGTGTAATCTGGAGGTTGCCAGAGCATGAATGACAGCCACCAGTCTCTGTATTCAGGAAGACAGTGTAGCATTGCGTACAGCTGCATTCTGATGGCATAGGACCTGCGAATGATGAAGTATTATTGCAAATTCTGTGTCTCTTGCCCAGAGCATTATCTGGATTTAAGACCATCTGGGAACCGTAAAGTTAGCCACTTAAGAGCAGAAGAGCAGGGTTACAAGTGCAACAACCAACTGCAGCCATTCAAAATCCAGACAGTTAATCTGCTAAGGCTATCACTTGAGAACAACTCTGTTGAATTTTGTAGAGGGTAATCTTAAT